GTGGGTTTACTCGACTGACAGCCCAGCCAATCGCAGAGAAGCGCCTTATTTTGAATTTCCTAAATTTGATGACTTTCTCTCTCTCTCTCTCTCTCTCTCTCTCTCTGTGTATCTCTTTATAAAAAAAAGGGATTTTTATTTTTCAATTTCAATTTTCACGTTTCAGCTTGTTTTGCCTTTCGCTTCCAGCTTCCTTGATCAGCAATCCCAAGAGAGGTAATCTTTTTTTATGAATTCGTTATTAGTTTAAAATTAGGGTTTCGTTTGTTTTTGAATATTGGAAACTAACTTTTCTTCAAGTATTACGGTAGTAGTACTGTTCGTTTCTTTTTTTGTCTAGTTCCATGTTTGATCAGGCTGCGATTGATATTGATTTGGGCTATTTGTATTTGTACCCAAAAGGAAGTAGGGTTTGAGAATTGGACTGTTGTTGAAAGAGGAATTAAATCTATTTACCAAAAGAAAGAGGACCTAAATCTTTATCCGGTGACAATGAAATATAATTGATTGAAGCTGATTGGCTTAGTTGAGCTTAAATTTTTTACTTTTTAGTAACAAGAAGAGAAAGACCTTGATTGTTGTTTTTTGGGAGGGGGTTTGATCTTCTTTCATTTCCTTAGCATCCAAAGCTGGTTCCTTTTTCCTTAGTCTTTTTGTAACCAAAGTGAGAAAACATGCTGAGGTTATTGTAAATTTTTTTCCTTAAATTAGTAGAACCTCCACAAACTAGTAGTTTTCAGCCTTAAACTAGTAGTTTTCAGCATTCTTTGACATTTTTTATACTGCCTTTCCTTTAAAACAGGCTAATTTAATTCTGGTTAGTTCAACTGCTTCAATGCCTTCTGCAACGTCACCCCGGTGGCAAGAGAAGGCTAGTGGTTTCTTTTCTACCTCAGGTACCTTTTGATTACACAGTTTCTCTTGTTTACTCCTTTTTTTTTTTAAGTGTTGTTTAACTATAGCTAAGTCTTAATGAAGGGGTGAAGCTTAAAGAAGCTGGACAATCTGCTGGAACATTTGTTGAAGAGGTCACTAAGGATGCAAAAGTTAATGTAACTGATATGGCAGAACGTGTAGGGTCAATGTTCAAAAGTCGGTGGGCGCTTCTTCAAGAACCATCGACAAGACATGCTGTCCAGGAACGCCTTATAACTGCTGCTGCTACGACCGGGACATTGTTTAGGAAGGGCTTATTAGAGACAAAAGACAAGGTTTCTGTTGGGAAGATAAAAGTTGAAGAGGTAGATTTCCTAGAACTTTAATAGGTGAAAGTGATTCATATCCAACTTAAGGCTTGTAAAGATTTCCAGTTATTATGAAAGTTAAAACCTACATCTCATGCTAACGTTGAATGGTTTTGACAATAAATTCGTACTTCTGTAAATGCTGATTTGGATTTTGTCTAGAGCTTGACAATATGAACTTGCATCATCCATAAAATAGGCATGATTCTGAAGTTGAGATGATAACTGAAACACTTGAAATGGTGACTTTTCTTTCAGGTGGCAAAGAAGACTGCCCAAAAGAGCAAAACTATTTTGAGTGACATTGAAAGATGGCAGAAGGTATGTAATTTTGAGAAAATTGTTACCTTTCTTTTCTTCTTTTTCTATAGACATTTAAAAATTCTTATTCTTGTTTTTTCATTTTCAGGGTGTTGCAAGCACTGATGGTAAGTCACACAGGGTTCCTTCTAGACTTTATACATATGCATAGCTGTAAGGTGGATTTTGTATAATCATAAACTTCATTAGTTCCCATTTTTTGAAGAATGGTGAAAATGTGGATCCTCTACATCTCCGTATGGTTTTTGCGTTAATGATCAAGCTTTGTATACTAGGATGGTGGTCGCTTTTAATCCTGGAATGGATAGTGATTGTAAGTTTAATTTTCATTTGCGCTAATTTAACGTTTATTTTCAGTTTTTGGAGTTCCAATTGAAGTTACTGTGCAACGGCAACAATCTAGCAGGCCCATTCCTCATATTTTGGTCAAATGTGCAGATTATCTCATATTATCAGGTACTGCAATCTAAGAACCTACACTTCTCTGATCTGTATACATTTATTTCAGGAATTATTAACTTGTTCTTGATTGTTTGTGGCTTCTAGGACTAAACACACCATATCTATTTAAAGGGGAGGGAGATAAAAAAGTCATTCAACAATTGGTTTCACTGTACAACCAAGGTATCTGACATATCTGTGTGTGTTTGTGTTTTCTTTTTATTTCTGTCTTTTGAACAAAGTTTTCTGAGTTGTTCAATTTGGACAACATTAATCTAATGTTGTAATATTGCATATATCAGATTCAAATGCATCATTACCAGAGGGAATAAATCCAATTGACGTAGCAGCTCTAATCAAATGTTACCTAGCTACCCTTCCCGAGCCACTAACCACATTTGAGCTTTATAATGAGATCAAAGGTGCTCGTTCCAGCATACATGCGATGAGAAACATGCTGAGGAGGCTTCCAACTGTAAACTACACGACCCTAGAATTTATTACTGCACTACTGCTCCGCGTAAGCCAGAAGTCGGTTCTTAACAAGGCAGGAAACTCTCTCTCTCTCTCTCTCTCTCTCTCTCTCTCTGTTATAGACATGGATTGGTTATTCATAGCCGGATATTTGATAAGCATGCTAAATAGTTGATAACTTTATATAGATGGACACACAAAGCCTTGCAATGGAGATGGCCCCTGTTCTAATTTGGCAGAAGGGCAGGACACCAGACCTATATAGGAAATATTGGAGTGAACCATCAAAAGGTCCTTCCAAGAAGAACTTGGATCCAGAGCCAACTTATAGTGCTTGGGATATGCTTTCTGGTGAGTGGTTCATTCTCATAAATACAAGATTCAATTGGACTCCATTCAAATGCAGAGATGATAGAAATATTGCAATGTATATTGTTTCGAATAGGAGCAGTTTATGTATAATGCATACTTATAACACTTGTAGGATTAGAACTAAATACATTGGAATGAATCTCAATATACTTATGCTGACATTTGATGCCTTTGACGTCTTTTAACTACACTTTTTCAAATGTTATATGCGAGAGAAAAAAAGGTGAAGAAATGGAACAGTGAGATCTTTGTTGTTTTTACATTTGACTGATGAAAATAGTCATCTTTATTCGTTCTTTTTAGTTGAAGTTCAACAATGCCAAAGTTTCATTGAAAAAAGAAAAGCCTAAAGCTAAAGTTACATATAAAGTTTTCTATTACTCCCTCTAACCATATGAATGTGTAAATCATCAGTAGGTCAAAATACATGGGCTGATTGTTTGAAGAAGAACTGAATTGTAGAAAGAAAGAAAATAGCACTATTTGTTTTTTCATTAGCGAATTATTCCTGTGTTAGACAAATTATCGGAAACAAATAGGTTTTATATTGTTGGTTTTTTGACAGAAGGTATTCTTTTTTTTTTTTTAATTCTTTGTTCCTTTGCTTTACATCTTTATTGTGGATTCAGATGAAGACGATGCTGTAGATGATTCCATTCCCTTGGATGATGGCGTGCCCATTGACTTCGGCGCTATTGAGGTTGTCCAGTGCCTCATGGGACATCACAATGCCATTTTCACAGATGCAAACGAAACAATCTGGAGATGACACAAATTGCTTATTTCCTCATGCAGCAGGGGATAATTGAGTTGGACAGTCCCAACTGTTAATGTTTCCAGAATGAAATCAGATCTGGTTGATGACGATTACAAAGATGTTATGATCTTTTCCAATCCTGAGAAGGTTCAAACTTTATTTCTATTTGGAATACGGTCAACCATGAATTGCTTGCTAGGGGAGAAGAAGCTATTGTGTGCTTAGTGTGCAGCTGTTAAAAGCTTGGATTTAATACAAATTGGACTTGTGATTGGTTTTTGCATTATTTTTTACTTTAGGAGGTGTTAGTGCATCACCATTGGAGTATGTTAATTTCTTAATAATATCAGTTTATACTGAGTTTAAGCTGGTTTTAACTGGCAGTATAGACTAGGTCTATATTCGACTAGCACATTGTACAAAGAAGTAACTTTTTTGGATATTCAACAATTAAAAAAATATATATTTATTGAAGAAAAAGGATCTGCATGTCTGTTGGGTACTTGTGTCTCAGTAATTAAGCAATAGTTCCCTTTCTTAAAGCAAAGTCACCAACATACCAAATAGTAGTTACACAAGACAAGCTCCCAAGAACTTATAACTCCGACGAGCTCGTAAGTGTTTCAAGATAATCAAGCATCTCCGGTGGGAAATCATCGAAAACAAAGTTGGGGATCGAAAGGTCTTTTACTTCTCCTAGCTTTGTACTTACAGCATTCTCCTTAAAGAACTTCTGGCCAATTTCACATTCAGTAACCTCCTGCCCAAACATGTCCAACAAGTCGGGAGCCATAGGGTCTTGGTCAAGTTCCTTGCATTCTGACAAAAATGGAAGGTCCAGTTGGGGCTGAGGGAGCTGAGACAGAGAGTAGTGTGGTGGGGAATCAATCGGCAAGATCATATTAAGGGGCGTGGCCTCAAGTATTGGCTGCTCTGCTTCCACATTTAGCAGGTATGGTTTTACCAAATCTGGCAGGGGCACCATTCTGAACTTTTGAGAATTTGAAAAGCAATTGTGGGTTTCATTGTTGAAGCATGATGTGACCTCCTCAATAGCAGAACTGCATGGATCAGGAGGAACCTGAAAATCAAAAAATTGTAAATGGTACACACTCGATAAACATTCTGTCTAGAAAGTTTGACAACATTAATTGCAACCTTAACCTCTGGTAATTCATGATGGACAAGAGGGCTCTTCCCTTTGTTGTTCTGGGACTGTAGTGATGTTGATTTCTGCAAAATCCTCTCGAACCGCTTCCGTCTCGTGCTCCAGAAATTTTTCACATCATTATCTGTTCTCCCTGGCAAATATGTTGCGATTTTCGCCCACTTGTTCCCGAATTGTGCTTGCAGTTGTATCACCATCCTCTCTTCCTCTGCTGAAAACTTGCTTCCACTTTGTAGTAAAGTTCACATTTTTCGTATCGTTAGCATCAATATTAAGCAGGAACGTTACAGAAACACAACAACAAAAATTGTCCAAAACCCACCAACAAAGAAAACATGCTAAAATAAAATAAAAACCAAAACTGCGTGTTGCATGTAAACGCATAAATAAACAATTAGTGTTTGCTAATATAAATTATGAGGGCTTACGTCTTCAAGTTGGGTCTAAGCTTGTTAATCCATCTGAGACGACATGATTTTCCAGTTCGTGGCAAAAGGCCCTTGGATCGAATGGAGCTCCAATCTCTTGGACCACATTTCTTCACATGACTTATCAGTACCTCATCTTCTTCAGCAGTCCATGGCCCTTTCTTAACGTTTGCATTTGGCCTCTCCATTTTTGAACAAAGTCTGATCAGTAATTTTCTTCACTCTAAATTCTCCAGAACATATACTTTTCCATCGATTTTCTTACGAAAATTCATTTGGGTTTCTTGCAAAAATGAAATTATTGAGAAGGATATTTTGAATTTGAGTTTTTGATGTGCAGCTATGTACTTGGGTTTGCATGGCTCATCTCATGGATGCTAGTGTTACAAATGAATTAAAGTCAGCCGTTAGATGATCAACTTTATTAGGATTAGGATTGAGTGGGACCGTCAAGCCTCAAAGATGATGAAATTAGAGGAGCCTGATTTAATGATCTCCTTGTTAATTGATCCTCTAATTGTAAATGAGAAACACTGGAACTTTTATGCCACTATCAGGAAAGTGGCAGTTTGGACGGTTAGTGGCAACACCCACAACCGCGCCTTTTCTTCTTTGATCAAAATAGACGATAAAATTACGTTTCTATCCCCGTTAGATCTTTTGATAATATCATCAATCACCAATATTGTATTTGATGAAGAAATAAAATCAAAGCAATTTGATTATTTAAAATGTAAAAAAAAAAAAAAAAAAAAAAAAAGAAAGAGAACAAACAGACCATTAAATCTATGGAATTTAACAATAGAATATCCCTTCCACAAAGAAAAAAAAATCTCATAACCCCATCCTTTAAAAAAACACTACAACAAACAAAGAAACAATAATCATGGGAAATCTTTGTAGATGTCGGGCAATGTTGCAGCACCAATTCCAAGTGGATGAAGGGTGTTAGAATAGGAGGTGAAACAAACCTTCGAATTACCATATTGACACTGATGCTCACAAACTTGTTCAATCTGTTGACTTCGACCCATCATATTATAACTATAGACTTTCTTTCTAGTTGCAAATAGCAAGTCTTCCCATTCATGACTGTAAACCCTGCAATATAATTAGGGTTAGGCTCCATCAACCCCATTGCTCTAACCCTAATTTTCATAATCCGAATCGTAGTCTCTCAAAACCCATGCAGTGAACACAAACTTCTTCAGCCTTACCAAACAGATTGACTCAGATGAACTTTTCCTACTTCCCCACTTGAAAATCCCCAAATTGGATTTGTGTAAAGTATCATTCGACCCCTTCCTTGCATCATTAGGCAGTCTTAGTTTTCTTGTGGTATCATTGTTAATATCATATGCCACAATATATGGCCAATAGTATACACTTCCTCTGCGCCTCGAAGGATCACTACAATCTGAAACAAAATGGACAGCACCATTGTGATAAACAGGCATATCAAGATGAAGTTCTCTAGGACCGAATCCATGAACTTTTTTTTTCCTTCCATGTGCCCTCTTTTGGCGAGTAAATTTTGCACTCATAATAGGGTAACCAATCTCTTGGTGGCTGAATGATTAGTAACATTTAGTCTTGATGATCAGGGTCTGAAATTGGATTGTTAATGTTGCACTCAAGCACAACTCCTTTGGGCCGATTTACTTCTCCTAAATATTGTGGGGTTGGAATGGTTAGCCAAGTTTGTGTTGTGGGATTGCAAAGAAATAAGTTATGATCATCTCGGGTTTTGGTGTTTTGACAAAGTATCAAGCCATTACTTGATGCCAAGACCTTTGATCCGGTGTTTTCGAGAAACTGAAGAGATTTTTGGGGCACACCTGAGAAGAGTTGTTCACCAGGTAGTGAGTGATATTCTACTTTGTCACGATGCTTGGACCCGTTGGAGATACTGGGTTGAATAAAGAACCCTGAGTCATCCTTGACACGCAAGTTACGAGCTTGGGTCCACGCAAATAACTTGTTTGTTGAGAATTCAGAAAAAGATTTGCAGACACATTTGAATCTATAAATAGGCTTTGCTGGTAACCATGAGAAAACATATTGAAGTAAATCTTCGGAAAATTCCATAGCTAATATTCAAAAACCTGCATGCATGCAATAAATTTACAAATTGTCAGCACAAGGAAAACTGTGAGGAGTTCAAAGTATTTGTTAAATTTATATGTTTCAACACAAACCCATTCGAATCAGGAAACCTTTCAACACAAGGAAAAAAAAAAAATTGAATGAAGAAGAAGAATTAGGAAACCTACTCAAGAAATAGCAAACTTTCTATCACAATCTGATTCACATAATTATATCTATTTTTTATTGGAAGTAGAGGTTTCCCAATTCGAATGGGTTTATACACAAGGGTGTTTAAAAAGACCCCAAAAATATCTATTTGGGTTTGAAAGATGGCCCAAGCCCAAATAATTCTCACTCGAAGCACATTTAACTGAGCGAGTCATAATTGAGTTGACCCACCTTCAAGTGGGCAAGCCGAATCAACAGCAAGTCAAAACTCGTTCTTCTTCCTGAAGAAGGCCCAGCTCAGATAACAGAGCAGCAGCTGAGCTTTTGAAAGATGAAAGACCTTCACTCTCTGCTGCCACACTCCATGGCTGCCACCCATCTGAACTCTGCATCTATCTTTCTCCTTACATTTTCATTACTCTTCCTGGTAATTCAATCATATTTGATTTGATCACACTATCTTTTGCAATTTCTCCTTGTTTGTTTGCTAAGAAAACAGAGGAAAAGTCAAAGACATCTGCTTTTAAGTTTTTCTTATTAACCCAGTTCGATTATTTCATATCTCATTGCTAAGAAAACAGAGGAAAAGTCCAAGATTGCATTTTCTCAGAAATCAAACACTTCTATTTTGGTTCTTTCATTACACACATGATTGGATTGAATTATTCATTGAAGATCAAATTTTGAATGGGTTATTAGGTCATGGGACACGAAGCTTCGAATTCCGGGCAATACCCCGTGGTGGTGAGCACATGGCCATTCTTAGAGGCTGTGAGAGCAGCTTGGAGGGTTGTTGATAATGGGTTCTCTGCGGTGGATGCCGTTGTTGAGGGTTGTTCAGCTTGCGAGGAACTCAGATGTGATGGTACAGGTGGGTGCCTGAATTCTTGGATTTGGTTGAGTTATGTTCATGGAAGAAAACTGTTATTAGGAATTTGTGCTTTCCTTCTTTGCTCGTCTGTAATATTTGATTCTTTTCAGTATTAAGTTGTAAGTGCTGATTTTTTATACTTTATCTGCTTGATTGGGTAAATTATTTATGTGCGTTAGCATTATAGAGGGAGGGAGGGAGAGAGAGAATTGTTTGTGTCTGTCTAAAACTCATGATATAGAAGATGAAGGTGACAGAGAAGTTGTTGCCACTCTACTTGATTGTGAAGTTCATGTTAGCTACTAATTAATGAGTTACCAACCCCGGTTTAATTGTTATTATCTTGGATGTGATCGGAAAACCAGGCTGAATAATTTCTCACTGACTACAATACTAGCATGTAGCTTATTTCAATGTCACTTCGTATGAAAATGGAGCTTCAAATGATATTAGAATTTGTCTATCAATTGAGTTCTTGAAGAATGAAATCATAACCTAACATAAGTAAGTTTTGTTTTCTTAGCATACTAAAACCTTCTCTTCAATTGTGTAACTGATTTTGTGATCTCAAATGGAATAGTGCTAAGCATGTTAATGGGATTGATAATTACTATAAGAAATTATAATATGTGATATTATTGGGGCAGTTGGGCCTGGTGGGAGTCCAGATGAGAACGGAGAAACTACAATCGATGCTCTGGTCATGGATGGGGTAAGTAATATTTGCATTTTCCTTCTGTCGCAATTATTTTTCTTGTTACTACACCATTTTCTATTGCTTGCTCAAAAAATAACTATCTATTATGAGTTTGATAAGGACATGCATAGGTGACAATGGAGGTTGGAGCTGTTGCTGCCATGAGGTATATAAAGGATGGAATCAAAGCTGCTAGGCTGGTGATGCAGTATACCGAACACACTTTGCTTGTCGGAGAGCAAGCCTCAGCATTTGCTATTTCTATGGGTCTTCCAGGTCCGACAAACCTTAGTTCATCAGAGTCTATGGAGAAGTGGATCAAATGGAAAGAAAACCACTGCCAGCCTAATTTTTGGAAAGATGTTGTACCTGTAGATAGTTGTGGCCCTTATCATGCAAAGCACTTCCTGGGCTCTTCTCATGGGACATGTTCCAAAACCACTCTGATGGAAAATATTAAATCAAGATCATCTCATGTTGGTCGTCACAACCATGACACCATATCAATGGCAGTTTTTGATAAAGTAAGTTGATAACCTTAGCAAGGTTCCTTTAAATGCCTTGATTTCACTAATTACCATCTTTTTCTTGGTCTAGATGGGGAACATTGCTGTTGGTACCTCAACAAATGGAGCCACATTTAAGATCCCAGGGAGGTAAGTTGTACTGAGGCATACTACTAGTTGATACTAGTCTTATTGGTAAAAGTTAAAACTCAGTTTTTGCTTATCTGAATCCCTGTTCTTTTCTAATAAAAAATTTATTTTTTAGTACCGTTTGTACTTATTTGCGAAATTTGGTTCTGCTTCTGTAAAATACTGTACAAACAAAGTCATAAAGCTTTTTGACAAAATTGGGTTAGCTTCTCATCCATCTCTATTTGTTGCTATTAATTATGAAAGAATTAATGCCATAAAAAATAATCAAATAATGATGAAATGAGAAATTTATCACTCCATCCGTAGTTTCAATTCACCAGAGGCATTGCTCTCTTGACTGCAGGGTTGGTGATGGACCAATTGCAGGATCTTCTGCATATGCTGACGACGAAGTTGGTGCTTGTGGTGCAACTGGAGATGGTGATATCATGATGCGTTTCCTTCCATGGTAATGGAAAAAATATATTTTAATAAATTTTTGGTTATTTTTGGTCCTGGTCCTAGTTGGGTTCTTTTCTTATGGAGCAAACATTCCTTTGATGGCTGAAGCATTGGAATATTGCTAAAGGATGTCAATTTGGGTCAGCAAATCCTAGTATTTTAGATGATTAGGCTTTCCTCCTAATGAAATCCACAATTATTTATGTTCAGAATTTTTCCTTTAAGGTATTGATGAATCATTGGCTATAGACTTGCATATTCTCATAGCGTTAATCATTATGAGGTCAGGGTGAAACTCTAATCTGTAGAACAGGTTGAAGTCAATCCAGTCTCATAATTTGTCATAAACATAAAGTAAATACTCTTCTTAAACAAAACATACCTGTAGGAGGCTTGTTAAGCATTGTAAGCTGGCACGGAGGCTTTGAGTTATGAACATAGCAAGCCAACCTGAACCATCACATTTTCAGTTCTGGTTTACTTGGATTGAAAACTACTTGGGTAGTTCCTATGTAGGTTCATTCACCTGATATAATGAATGTGTTGTGTATGTTTAAGGAGGCTTTGTTTTGTACTTTCCCTTGTGCATTTAGTCCCAAATTTTCTTCTGGCTGGCGGCCATGATTGAAATAGATTCCTTGTCAAACTTATGTTGATGCACCTCTATTGAGTCCGTCACTTCCGTTTAATGAATCTAGCTATGTACTTTAAATGATTGAACTGCAGTTATCAAGTTGTGGAGAGTATGAGATTGGGGATGGAACCTAATCTTGCCGCGAAGGATGCAATATCACGAATTGCGAGAAAATTCCCTGATTTTGTAGGAGCTGTGTTTGCCATCAATAAGAAGGGCGTGCATGCTGGTGCTTGCCATGGATGGACGTTTCAGTACTCAGTAAGAAGCCCGGAAATGGATGATGTAAAGGTTTACACCGTGGTGCCCTGACAAAGCAACTGTCTGTCTTCATTGAAATGCTTTTCTCCACCACACAGTTTTTGTAGAGAATGAATTATATTTTTTTGAACTGTGTAATCTTGGATGAGAGGTTCAACTTATCGTCAAAATGATAACATCTTTTGATTAACTTTTGTTGAACTTGTGAGGAGACTTTTATATCAGAGGACTTTGTGGCTGTTTTTCTATTGAAGGAGTCTTAGCGGGTCATACCTAAACAGACTACGATCTCTCCTTTCTTTGTAAATAACGACATGTCGTTTCTATGAAGGTCAACTATTTGATTATCTCATTGACCTCACCTCCTACCGTACAACTTGCAATTCCAATTTTAAAAACCTTTTATTATTTGATTTCTTTTCATGAGCTTAATTTTATATGACTAGATTTTTGGCATCAAACCAGAAAGAAAATTGGCAACAAAAAAAAAAAAAAAAAACCGAAAAACTAGAAGAACATTAAATATGTTAGATCTCTGGCTTTTATTTTTGGGTCAAACTTAAAATATCTCTGGCTACTTTTGGTCAATAAAAGCGCCAATCCCACCTCGCCGGGGGAACTCGGATTGAAGAGAAGAAAAACAAGCGACTTTCACGCATTTCCTCCAAAGCCCATAACCCGATCACCGGTTTTTTGAATTCCATCTGAAAAAATCTTCAGTTTCTTGGCCTTCAATATCATCTTTAATTATTATCAAACCTCGTGAATGGAACGAGATGTAGATGGTTGTATGCAAACAGAGCAATCTCTCCCACCGGCACAGTTCGATGGCCAAGCCTCGTCTTTGAGCTGCACCCTTTCCTTGGACCACGTTGGGGAAGTCGCTCTTACCTTCAACTCAGATGGGTTGTCTTGGAAATTGGTTGAGCCACTGGATAATGTAATTTTACTTTCTCTTCTCTGCTTTTATCTTAAAAATGATTTTTTTGATACTTAAGGTTCGTTTTATCAACTCTAGATTGAAATATGTTCTTAATTGTGTATATCAGATCAGATTGAATTGTTTATTTATTTATATTTTTATTTCTGATAGTAGTTTATGAATATTTTTTTTATGTCTGATAGTAGTTTATGATCATTTTGCATTGAAATAGTAGTTTATGATCACTTTTGTTTTTAACTTTATTTGGGATACTGCATCATAGGTCGAAAAAGCATTTATAATTGTTAAATGATGAGTTGGTAATAAGGTTGAAGTATGAACATTTGAATTTTTTTCTCTATGTCTAATATATCAGGATGACTCAACTTGTTTGGGCATCAAATCAAAGGTTGCAACCGAGATCAAATTTTCTGATGTGTATGCTGTTGAGTTGATCGACTATGGTTTGATTCATGGATCAAACATTTCAAATGCTAGAAAATGCCTTTCGGGTCACGACTTTGAGGTTCGTTCAATTCCTGTTCTTGGTTGTGTGCTTTCACTCCCTCATAAGATAATGATGTGTTTTTGTGTTTACATACATGCAGATTTACCGCTTTACAGTGCACGGTTTCCAGAGGTCAAAGACTCTCCCTTCACTTCGGGTCCTGGTTGCATATACATTCGGTCATAAGGATCTCCAAACATGTCAGATGTGGGTTAATCAAATTAATGCTTCTCTGGCCCTAGAACAGGGGAGACCAAAGAATCTCCTGGTATGTTTGGTAGTCTTTTTTTATCACTATATCATTGTTCATGTTTGAATCTTGAATTCTTTAGTTGGCTGATCAAAATTGACATAAAGTGGTATTATAATTCTTTTCCAGAATTTTTTTTTTTCTGATTGACTAGGTTTTTGTTCATCCAAGGAGTGGGAAGGGAAATGGCTGCAAAACTTGGGATTCTGTGGCTTCTATATTCTCCCGGGCTAAAGTGAAAACAAAGGTAGAGTTCTAGATTGCTCTAATCCTAGATTATAAAATTCCATTGAAGTGATACCACTAGATCACATGCAATTATATTTAATGCGCTAAGTGATCCTTCTTAAATATTGTTTTCCATCCCTTTATCAGGTGATTGTGACCCAAAGGGCAGGACACGCATTTGATGTGATGGCATCTATAGGCATCAAGGAACTTATTTCATATGACGGAGTTATAGCTGTTGTAAGTTATAACTTCCCTAGACTGACTTTAATCTCTGTAACATAAAAAGATTTAGGGAATTGATTGTTCATTGAGCTTTATACTGTATTACATAAAATGTTAATACATGTTAACGTATCACATTTTCCCTTTTAAAGATTTTTGAACTTTTTGCATCTTGTTCCTAATTACTGATTACTTGCTAATTGATTCGGTTCCAGGGTGGTGATGGTTTTTTCAATGAAATTCTTAATGGATTTCTTTTATCAAGGCATAAAGCTCCATACCCACCAACTCCTTCGGGTTTTCTTCAATCTGCTACATGTGATGACAATTTCTGTGTTCGTGATCCAAATGCAACAGTTATTGGAACTTCTTCTCAGAACAATGAGCAGCAGTCTCCTCTCCTCCCAAGTACAAGTTATGATAGCTTTGGAGTCCCAAATATCAGTATGTACCATAATAATTTATTTCCATACAAGTCAGGTTTCAATTTGATTTATATTTGTAACAGGTTGTTTTCATACATATCACTGGAGGTAGAAAATCACAGGAATTGAAGATATTTCTTCTCCTGTTTGTTGATTTATTTTGTTTTAGACAAACCATGATATTACTTTATCATAGTATATTGTGTTTATATTTACCAATGCTTATTACTTGAATAATTTTTTTCTTCTTTTCAAAACACAACAGATCAAGATTCTGAGTTTTCCCTCCCTAATGAGCATTTTAGATTTGGAATTATTCCTGCTGGCTCAACTGATGCCATTGTGATGTGGTACTTCTCTGCATTTTTACGGCTACCAAAAATGTTGTCCAAGTTGATGTTAAACTTGAACAGAAATTGACCATTTTACCATACCCTACTCATATATTGTTCTCTTTGGCCTAATGTAAGGTGCTCACTTATTTTTTTGTCAGCACAACTGGGACTCGAGATCCTATAACATCTACATTTCACATTGTCCTTGGAAAAAGGGTGTGCCTTGATGTAGCCCAAGTTGTAAGGTGGAAAATAAAATCTACATCGAAGGTTGAACCTTTTGTGCGCTATGCAGCGTCTTTTGCCGGGTAGTTTTTCATTACAATGTCTAAATAAATGACTGGTGATGAAATGGAAAATTATCTAATCTGGTTCTCATTTTGAATTTCTCATCAGCAATGTTCTCTAAAATTCATATGTTCAATATTTGTAGGTATGGATTTTATGGAGATGTCATTACTGAGAGTGAAAAATACCGCTGGATGGGCCCTAAACGATATGATTATGCAGGAACAAGGGTGTTTTTGAAGCACAAGTAAGTCGCTAAAGTAATAATTGTTGGGTTCAAATCATAAACATGGTCTGTGATTCGTTATTGGTTATACATTCACCATGCATGCAGATTATTTTCATTAGCTACCAATGAATTGTGACTAGATAATGATCCTTTACTTCACTTTTTCAGATGTGCTCAAATTTGTAGTAGCTAATTTATATATGTTGCATCATTCAGGTCATATCAGGCAGAAATAGCATATTTAGAAGTCAAATCAGAAGAAGCAAAATCAATTCCTGAAAGAGGAAATTTGGGGGGTCGCAAGCGACCATTTTGGAGCCCAAAGAAATCTGAAAAGGTCGTATGCCGTATTAACTGCGAAGTCTGTAACACCACCACACCTTGCTCACATCCAGGAGAAACCAAATGGTCCAGGTCCAAGGGAAGTTTTCTTAGCATTGGTGCTGCAGTAATTGCTTGTAGAAATGATAGAGCACCTGATGGTTTGGTGGTTGATGCACACCTTTCAGATGGTTTGATGCATCTCATATTAATCAAAGACTGCTCTCATGCTCTCTATTTATGGTAATAATATCTGGCCCTTATCTCAATGCACCTTTATGTCTTCTCCCCTGACATAGTTTCCCACATATAAATTTAAAATAATTGGGCTATAAACTGTTAGGGTGCTGCAGCAATCTTTTGATGACCTATCCAAGATCTTGATGGCAAAAGGATTTTTTATGATAAGTTTGAAAGGCTTACATCCTAAGTAACATGGTAGTCCAAAATCATCTGTTTCTTTTGAAAATTCTCAAGTGTTTTTCTATGTAGTGCACATAGAAAAATTTGAGTTTGTTGTGCTTGCAATGCCAACGAGTTAGGAGTTTCTTATAGAGGTTTTCGATGCCAAGTTCCTAAGGATTTATGCTTCTATAACTCCCTTCGCCAGCTTAAGGATTTATCTTTACTTCTTGTGCCTTCAAGTCATATTGACGAGTTGTGAGTTGCTTAAAGAGAGGTTTTGATGCAAAGTTCTTAAGATTTTATTGCTGATTGGCATCCAGTATCATAGGTTGATAGTTTTTCACTGCTTTATCCATGAAGACCATAAAAAGTTGCTTATGCATATGATTAATTGATACACGCAGGCATCTTACCCAGCTTGCAAGGAAAGGAGGAAACCCCTTTGATTTCAAATTCGTCGAACATCACAAGGTAAGTGTTTCTCATCATGTGTTCATCTCTCTTGTCTTGACAAAACTCATATTGCCTTTAATTGTTTCATATCTCTTGGGTGCACTGCAGATCACTGCGTTTACATTTACTTCTTCCGGCAACGAGAGCGTGTGGAATTTGGACGGTGAGCTCTTTCAAGCACACCAACTATCAGCGCAAGTATTTCGAGGCCTTGTCAGCTTGTTTGCATCCGGTCCTGAAGTTTGATACAAGACTAATGCTTACTCCAGATAATCTTCCACTATGCCTATAATGTATACAACATTTGTTTATTTATTTATTGATTCCATGTTCGAGTTTTGTACCCTAATATTAATTTGGAAGGAATAAATCCAATATTTGCATTTTTCAAACTCAAATTAGTGAATTGAGCATATTTCCTCTCCACAACCAACCAGATGAAATCATGTGAAACAAACTAGTAGTAACTAGCTAGTCAGCCCAATCAACAAACACAGAGAGAAACTTGAAGGTCAAGGTTATGCAAAAACTACAAGGGAAGGAAAGGAAGGAAGCAAGAATCACGAGATCAACATTATTGATTGATTGATATTATACAGGCTCAAGAGACCTCGCTAATTTTATAATTAAGAGCATTTTACAACGTCCATAAAATAATTAACTCATAGTCTACCACATAATTTATATACATAATTATCGAATTGTCTACTAAATGCTACACCTTCATGCCAAGCCAGGCCAGCCATTCTTCCCCCTCTTCAAGGTTGAGCCGAACTAGGGGAAGTAGAACCTTCTTTTTCCAACACATCAACACCACAAGCATTGTTTAGTGTCCTCCACTGATTAAACTCGTCGCAATCCGGATCAGATTTAAAGCCATCTCGACCAACACAATCGGGCTGCAAACACATTAACTGCCAAAAGAAACCCCAAATAAATAAATCGTAGCACTCTAAACTAACAGAATATCAAAATGGGGCTGAAAAACAGAAAAGGTGAATGAAAATAATAGCACTCTAAACTTTTGATCAAGCACCATTCATGAGATTTCATCATTTTCTAAAAATTAAAATAAGTCCAAATTGAAATCCTAAAAAAATCTTAGTTACTTGTTGGGCAAGAGATAAGACAAACATTAAAATAAGTGTTTCTCTTCTTTGTGAGTGGTAAAATTTTAATGCAAAATCAATAAGTTGGATAACATGAATGTGCATGATCATGAATTTGTTTGATGATTTACTTGTTAATGGGCATAGATTATCCGGAAATTAAATAATTAGTCCCCATATGATATTAATCATAGAAAATACAGGTTTATCAACTTGACCTTCTTTAAAGCCCCCATATGATATTAATCTGTTTTCTTGTGAACAATGCTCGACAGGTAAATCTGGACAAACTGTTTCTCATTGGCTTCGGCCCGGACTCCCCATTAAGAATTGAGGAGCCAGCCACAATATTATATGGGGGCTTTAAAGAAGGTCAAGTTGATAAACCTGTATTTTCTATGATAATGTTTTGGATATGAGGGTAATTTTTTTAACAATGAAACCTGAAATTTCTTGAATGGTACTCATAAATGTCATCACAAAACAAACTAATAATCCAAGAGGCCAACCAAAATGCAAGTTGAAAAAACTGAAATGCAGTGATATGGAATCAATGGCAAAAGAATATTTAAAGACCTCTCAATTTAACAAAAACAACACAACTGCTATAGAACTATATGAGAGGAACCCATAAACAGAGTTACAAAAATATAAATAGCAAACATTAAATTGTGAGCAAGAAAAAACAAGAAATATTGTAAAATGTATTTTATATAACACAAGTTGGTACAACCCAAATTGAAGGTAGTCTGCTCTTCTTTAGTAAGATCTTCGCATCTTCGGTGTAAGGTTTTAAAATGCTCTCGTCTTCCACGTTGTGGACACCATAATCATAAGGTCCATACTCGTCTCGTATCCCATTCGAATATTATCATGATTGAAGTAAATACAATTCGGCCGACACCCCAACTTTGAAGCCAAAACGCATTATCACCCAAAAAAAAGAGCAGCATCACCTAAAGTCTTTTTCTCGACCCACTCACGCATTTTGAAATTCAATTAGAATATTCTAAATTTCCTTGTCGTGCGTCTGCAACCATACCGAAAGGATTTTTGAACCATAAATATTTTTTTCTCTTTGGAAACCATGAGATATGTCTTAGGGCTATATCCATGGACTCGTTGCACTCCTTGTGCAACCAAATTCACATTTGAAATGGATTGAGTAGTAATATCAAAAGAGAAAAGTTTACCGAAGCGATCAAGAGGGTTTAGGTAATCTTTGCAGCAGAACGCCATGGCTTACAAACAAGCCTGAATTCTAATGGTGACTCCAATCTCTCTAGAACTAAATATAGAAGCTCCTTAGGCAAATTTGCCCAATCTGAAAAGAAGGAAGAAAAAAAAGAGTAAACTAGAGAAATCTATATACGTAACCTTAAAAATTGATTTTGTAATGTAAATGTATATATAAGAAAGAAGCCTAAAAACAAATAGATCGATGAAATACATAATAATACCTGAATTCATAGTAGATATAAGAAATTGAAGTTTGCTTTGGCCGTCCTTGTTAGGCTTTTTTTATTTTATGAAACAGAGCTCACCCTCAACCCCCTTATTTATACACAAACACAAACAAACTTTTGTTTTGTACGATCCCTAAATCAATAGGATTCCGAATCCCATGCATGCAGCTATGCTTACGATAGTTCTTTCAGACTTGGCCTAGGCCCAGACCCACTACTCTCAATTTGTTTTAGTTCACAATTCCTTAGAAGCATTATTATCCTAAAGCAACTCTAACAGTAGGACCTAATTAATAGAAATATTAGATATTATTAGCCAGACAATAATTGTAATTATAGTGAGAAATTGATCATGAAAATTAAATGGCGAAGACATCAGCATTATAAAAAGCCTAATGTGAAGTGAGTTTATAATATATATATATATATGAGTCCCCAAATAATGAGATATAAAACGAAAACAACCTAGAAAACATCGAAACTAAAACGAAGTCATATTGCCCCTCCTCCTCCTGATCCTGATGCAAAACTGAATCATCGGAATCATATTGTTTTTAGGAGTAGAAAAGTTTGTGTATAAATAGAGGTGGGGGTTGTGTGAGCTCTTTCAATCAAATCAAAGCCTAACGAAACGAGCATCCAACTTGGATTTCTTCTGGTTTACTTACAAAATGAAAAACCAAAAGTCTTGTTGCGGATTCGGATCTATGAATTCAGGTATGTTGTCTCACTGAGAAACTATTGGATTTATGTATTCATCTTTTTAGGGTTCTTAATTATATATGCTAAATCAATTTTTAGGATTAAATTCTCTCTTAACTGTTTTGTTTTGTTTGTGTACTTTTGACTGTTTTGTGATCTGCCGTTTTGTTCCGTAATAACTATTTAAGTTTTATATTCATAATTTACATATTTGTTTGTAAAAGACAAAACCATGGTCAAGATTCAAGAATAGGGCTTCAGTTGACTTTTGTTTTTCTTCCTTCTTCTCAGATTGGTCAAATTTGCCTAAGGAGCTTCTATATTTAGTTCTAGAGAGATTGGAGTCACCATTAGAATTTAGGCTTGTTTGTAAGCCATGGCGTTCTGCTGCAAAGAATACGAAAACCACCAAGATGTTTACCCCACTGATCTTGATTTCTGAACCAAAAAAGGATATATGGAATGCATATAATGTGGTGGTTGACAAGGTCCTTAAGCTGCAATTAAAATTGCAAAACCAACGATTTTGTGGGTCTTCAAAAGGATGGTTAATAGCTGTAGATGAAAATTCTGTTGTATCCCTAATAAATCCATTCCTTGGAGTTGGACGGAAAAGAGAGAAAGAAAACTCAGTCATTCGACTTCCTCCGCTAAGCACTCCAAATCGGAGGAGAAACTTTTATCTTAAAAGACGATATGATCATCTCATCTATAAGGCCACAATTTCAGCGGACCCAATATTAGATCCCAACAATTGCATTATTCTGGTTATATATGAGGAGTTGTCCCAATTGGCTTTTATTAGACTCAATAGAGACAAAAAATGGACTTATGCTGATAAAAGTGTCGATCAAAGTTGGCGCTTAATTGAAGAAGTTGTTCAATTCCAAGATAAGTTTTATGCTCTTGATCGCCTTGGTAAACTTTGTTCTTTTGATATTACTACTCAATCCATTTTAAATGTGAATTTAGTTGCACATGGCGCGCAACACGATCGTGGATATGACTATAAGAGATATCTCGTGGTTTCTAATGAGAACAAAATATTGATGGTTGAAAAGTGCTTTGTCTATATCCCTCCCATACGCTTCACAAGGAAATTTAGAATATTCGAATTGAATTTCAAAATGGGTGAGTGGGTCGAGAAAAATACTTTAGGTGATGCTGCTCTTTTTGTGGGTGATAGCTCTTCAATATGTGTCTTGGCTTCAAAGTTGGGGTGTCGTCCGAATTGCATTTATTTCAATCATGATAATAACCGTACAGCAGACGATTTCTCATATTATGGACCTCATGATTATGGTGTGTACAACATGGAAAAAAAGAGCGTTTTAAAACCCTACACCGAAGATGCGAAGATCTTACTAAAGAAGAGCAGACAACCTTCAATTTGGGTTGTACCAAGTTGTGTTATGTAAAATACTTTTTACAATATTTCTTGTTTTTCTTTGCTCACCATTTAATGTTTGGGATTTATGTTTCTGTAACTCTTTTATTTTTGGTCCTAATGTTTTTGTAACTCAATTTATGGGTTCTCATATAAGGAATGTTTGATTTTTCACGATTTACGATTTATTAAAGCGACTATTCGCAATTCAATCTTTCAGACTTGGCCTAGGCCCAGGCCCACTACTCTCAATCTGTTTTAGTTCACAATTCCTTCCTTTTAGAAGCATTATTATCCCAAGCAACTCTAACAGAAGTTGACTATAATCAGTATTACAACTGTTCAGTCAAACAACAACCATCGCAGAAAACATCTACTCATAAAGTTGATAACTTTTGAAAATTGATACCAGATAACTAATATTAGTATACATCCCCATTATTATCTTCTTTAGAATCTTAACATGCCAATATCAATCTCAGATTCTCAGGCAAGGCAACTAAAAAGAAGAAAAAAGAATCATCTACCTGCAACTACTTGCTAGCCTCAACATATAATTGTCCAACTCCAATCCACAACACAACAGTCCTGAAAAACAATCTCCCTGGCGGCTCCACACACCATAAACAAAGCAAGAGCCCAGAACAGGGTCTGCTGTTTTAAACAAGTACTTAACATACCCCTGAATAGATGAGTTGGGACAAAGGAGGATGTGGAAGTAGGAGAGCCAAAGGAGGGAGAGGTTCGTGTGAAGAACAAGGCCATTGGGCTTAATTTCATTGATGTATACTTCCGCAAAGGCGTTTATAAGGCTGCTACGGTTCCCTACACCCCAGGTTTTGCTACATTTCTAAGATTATGAAGATACAGTTCAACCAAGATTGACTTCTAGCCAATTTTTGACTTCATGTTCTTTTAAAAAACTTTGGTTTTTCTTCACAGTTTTCTCTAATAAACCTTTACCATGAGAGTATATTTTTTGAAATATGGTTAGGAACGATTGGGGTGAACCTAATACAAGAATGCAGAGCATGACATCAGAGAACGATTTCCATTGTTAGATTTGTTGTATATATTTACATCTAAAACTTGTTTGGGCTTTGATAATGGATTTACACAATTTATTTACAAATCAAAATCAGGTGTTGAGGCTTGTGGAGTTGTGACAGCTGTGGGACCAGGACTAACAGGCAGGCAAGTTGGAGATCTTGTAGCCTATGCTGGTCAGCCAATGGGCTCATATGCGGAAGAGCAGATCCTTCCTGCAGACAGAGTTGTGCCTGTTCCTCCTTCCATTGATCCTACTGTTGCTGCATCCCTCTTGCTCAAGGGTATGACAGCTCAGTTTCTACTACGCAGTTGTTTCAAGGTAGCTTTATATTTATGCAGCAGCATCTGGAATTTCAGGAACCACACATTAAGTCTGTAAATGAAGATAGTTTGAATTACAAAACACGAGATAACCACATCCTGGTTGTGATATTTTAGGCCATGCTAGTTTTAATATTCCTTGAATATGCATGTGGCATTGCAAAACATTTTTATAGAGCTATTAGCATGCACCAATGAGTTTTCCTGTCGAGGAGAATATTCATTTCTGTTAATACTGTTTTGATCTTTAATGTTATCATTGTAAAACTCTTTGGGCAGAATTGCCCCTGTTTTGACAAAGTATGCTCAGTTGTGTTTGAGTTAGTCTTTTTCATTTGTTAATCATGAGCACTCATGGGAGTTGAGGAGCTCTCTCTCTCCCTCCCTATTTATATTTGTTCCTTTGAGACTATAAATTTTAAAAACATGTCCTATCATTATCTGATGTAAGATAAAACTACCATTCTTGTTCTCTTTCACTTTTTCATTTGTGGCGCACTTGTTGATTCCGTTCCACTGGACAATCTGTGGAAAGAAAAAAAAAACATAACAACTAAGTATGAATTCAATGAGTAAAATGTCCAAACCAGCAAGATAGTACACCTTAAAAATCAAGCTCTATTGTAAACCAGCAACGTGTAATCAACTAAGTGCTTCAATCTTAATTTGGGTTCATTCTACAATTGCATGCTTAATTAACATAGCCCATCCTCTTTCCTAATGTTATATATGTTTAAAAAATTTGAAACTTATGTTGCTTTTGTTATTAGGTCTGACTTGAGTGTTGTTATACAGGTTGAACCTGGACACACAGTCCTTGTCCATGCAGCAGCTGGTGGAGTTGGATCCCTTTTATGCCAGTGGGCTAATGCCCTTGGTGCCACTGTCATTGGAACTGTATCTACTAAAGAGAAGGCAGCTCAAGCCAAGGAGGATGGATGTCACCATGTCATAATCTATAAGGAAGAGGACTTTGTTGCTCGAGTGAAAGAAATAACATCTGACAATGGGGTCGAGGTTGTTTATGATTCTGTAGGGAAGGATACTTTTGAGGCAAGCTATACTTTTCTTCTCTCTTTTTTTCTACAAATGAACAAAAACACAATCAATGGAGTTTAGGGAGAGATCATACCCTGTTCAAATTCTGCATGAGTACATTTGAGTAGGCTTCACCTTAACATGGTGCTGAAGTTTCTCAATGCTAGACCAGGCCTATGAAACCTTTTTGAATTTGAGCCAGGTTTATGAATTTTTTAAATGATGAGGGGGTCCATTTAGATGGAATGCTTTAAAGTTAGGAGTTGGATTTTGACAAAAGGCTTTTATGTCGGATCAGTCAATCTAGCTATATTTTATTTACTAAATTCTTAGACCTGAAATATCACTTCCCTAATAGACCCTAAAGTTAGTTACATTGCGATTGTGGTAGTGCAAACGGTTGGTAATCAGTAATTAAAAGAGAAGAAGAAAAGACACCCTCAAATAAGTGTGTTGTGTCGTGATTTATTCAAATGTTGCAAGCCCAACTAGTCTCCGAGATCAACATAATCTGGTAGATAATGAGTTCTGGGTAGGCAGTCTTTTGCTAATTTGTATTTTGGACAAAGAATCCTTAATTGGGAGTTATTGTTGTATTCAGGGATCACTGGCATGCTTGAAGACTCGTGGATACATGGTGAGTTTTTGGCAGTCATCAGGTGCGCCAGATCCGGTTCCATTGTCAGCCATTGCAGTGAAGTCACTGTTCTTGACTAGGCCTAGCCTCTTTCATTACGCTGTAACTCGAGACGAATTGCTAGGGATGGCGGGAGAGGTATTTGGTAATGTTCAGTCAAGTGTATTGCGGGTTCGAGTAAATCACACCTACCCATTGTCTGAAGCAGCACAGGCACACGAAGACCTTGAGAATAGGAAAACATCTGGATCTGTTGTGCTTATCCCCTAAGGCAAATATGAGTTTGGTCTGTTAATTTTAAAGGCTTGTGGTGTGTGTGTGAAAATGAATAAGGAACGTTTGCCTTCATGTTCAGTGTAGAAACTGATTTTCCCTTATATTATTTATAAGATCATTATACAATATATATAAAGTTTGTAGAGAATAATCTACAGTTACAACAAGCCATTATCATAAACATAAATATGGAGTTATGGCCTAATAACAACATAACTGACAACTGACCATTTCCTATCATTAGTAGGATTAACTATTGTAACTGAAATACTATTGTAACTCCCTAATACTCCCCCGCAAATCGAGCACACACAGCATAGCAAGATTTGAATGAAGAAACTACATAGTAATGGAGATGACGGCAGCAGTCGGTTGTAGTAGTCCAGTAAGGGGAACCAAAAAGAAGAACTCCAATCTCCAGAGTTGCAACAACAGCATGAGAGAAACAAAGTAAACATAACGCCCATTGAAAGGCAGGAAGTGAAGGAGCGCACAGGCTCATTGAAGAAAGGAATAAAATGATGGGCTGACATACAAGTCAAATGGACCTAGGAAACAACTTTAGGCACCTACGAAACATAACTCTACCTAGGAATCACCCTTTAGGTAGGATAAAGAGCATGCGGTAAGCGAGAAAAGAAGTAGCCATGTAGAAAAGAAAAAAAAGTTACACCCATAGGAAGAGAGGAAGTGGAAACAAAAGAAAATTTATCACATGGTAAGTAGAAAGGGATGTGTGCAACGAAAGCAGAAGGAATATTTGAAGGGAATAATGGGGTTAAGAGAGGGTGGCACAACAATAGGGGATAGGAGGTGAAACCAACTTGGGACACAAAGAAAAGAAAAAAGAGCATGGGCAAGTTTGAATTTCAAAGCAACATAGAAACAATAAAATAAGGTATGGGGAAGAAAACCACGTGGGAACAGAGAAGTGATAAAGAAAGGATCATCACAAGAGCATAGGGGCCCATAGAGATTAAAATAAAAAGAGATTATTGACCCAAAAAACAATAATAAGAAATAAAGAAAGAAACCAAGTGAGACAGAAATGAAAAGATAGTATGGGCAAAACACATAAAGAGAAAATCCTTTCAAAATAAAGATGGAAAAAGGAGAGAAAAAGAGGAGAAAATTGAACACTCATCAAAAGGAGAAAGTAGTCAAGAGAGGGAGAGAGAACACAAGATGCGAAGGAGCGCATGGGCTCATAGAAGGAAGGAAACTCAAGATGCCAGAAACAACCCATGACGAGGAGAGAGAAAACACAATTGAAAAGAAGAGAAGAAAACATCCCAATAATATAAAAGAATTATAAAGATACGAAGACAATACCAGTAACAGAGAATAAGAAAGGCAGCGCAAAAGAACAGCGAAAGACAGAGACCAGTAGTAAAATCAAAGAAAGAGATTGGGTTTAAGAGGGGAGGAGAACACCGGTTGAGCAGAGATAGAGCGTGAGAGGCCGATACCAAAGCAACAACATAGAGATACCAAGTCGGCAACACAGTGATAGGGCTTGAGTGGTCGATACCAAGTCGGCAACACAGAGGAAGAAACAAGGGCTGTGCAAAGGGAATAGCGGCAGTGTAGCACAGCAAAGAAGGCTCGGCAAGCGTTGACGAGGCCCGCAAAGGAAAGAGAGACAGCTAGGTGAACGATATGGAAACCACGATAGAGAAACCATCAGAAAAACATGGGAGAGGGAAACCACAATCGTAGACTAGGATAAAATCCGGCAAGCGTTGACAAGGCTTGCAGATGGAAGAGAGGCGGCGCGACGGAGACAAAGAAGTGGAGAGAGATTTCAAGAGAAAGAGGGAAACAAGGATAGAGAGGTGTGTTCTCTGAGGGAGAACAGAGATCTGACCATCATGGTAAGAGACGGACATGGATGAGGAGTGGGACTAGGTATCTGAGGAGTGGAAGAGGTACTAAGCAGTGGAGGAGAGGGAAAAAAAAACAACAATATTCATCTTTGAGAAGAGGAGATGAAAAATGATTGTACAGAAACGAACACTCTTACGGGTGAGGAGCGCCAACGACTCTCAATGTTGGCAACTAGAGGATCGCTAATCGGCGTTAGCCATTAGCTCTGATACCATGTAGAAACTGATTTTCCCTTATATTATTTATAAGATCATTATACAATATATATAAAGTTTGTAGAGAATAATCTACAGTTACAACAAGCCATTATCATAAACATAAATATGGAGTTATGGCCTAATAACAACATAACTGACAACTGACCATTTCCTATCATTAGTAGGATTAACTATTGTAACTGAAATACTATTGTAACTCCCTAATATTCAGGATAGCTGCTGTGCCAAATGAAATGGATGTCTCCGACTGCAGTGATCAAGAGACTTTGTTAAGCTAGCAATAAAAACAAGAAAAACTGGACTTATTGTAATATATTGCAAGTATAAATTGCTGATTTCTAAGTTTTATCTTGAATTTATTGTAATATATTGCAAGTATAAATTTTCTTTTTCTTTGTATAATTGTGAAAATGGGGTATTGTAAGGAGGAGGATAATAATATCAAGGCTTAAAAGAGTAGAAAGAGAATTTGTTCCGAATTGGCAATGTAATGTACCCTAATTAATTTCCATGAACATAAAACTTAGCTGATTTATATGAGCAAACTTAGCTCAAGAACTGCAATGTAAAGCACTCTCCTCACGTGAAAGGTTGTATATGCATATTGGCATTATACTTTATTGGTAATGTTGTGAGTTAATTGATGTAGCTATCAACTATGTCGTGTTTGGTTTTTAAATTCTATTTGAGGAGCAATTCATCACGATATCCAAATTTCCACACTTTGTTTCTAATTTTGTCCCCAACACTAATTTGGCTTCAGTCAAATTGTCAAAACTTGGCATATAGATATATGTATGTGTAAAAATTTGTCACATTTACCATGTTGTTTGTAGCAAAGCTTAAGAAACAATTGTGTTAGTTTTTAGTGTTAGGTACATTTTATTTTATTTTTGGGTTGTTTGAAGCATATGATCAATGTGGGCCAAAAATCATCATTTATGGGCTTCAAAATGTATGAAATGAGCCCAATAGGCCCAAAGGCCTTTGTTTCTTCACCTCGCCTCTATCCCAGCCTCATACAATTTCCTTGTCGAGACAAATCAAGGATCAAATCAGTAAGGTAAATGGGTTTACTTCAAATCAGAATAAAATTCCAGAACCCTTGTTCAACACAATTGCTGTCTTCTTCATACCACTGCACTCCAAATTCAAGACATTTTTCACAGATTTTGTGCAACAATAAGAATTTGAGTAAGTGTTTACCCTTTACACTTAGGACCAGTAGTTAGAGCACTTGCCACAGAATCAGCATCACCAGCAGCAGCAAAGATGGTCAAACCATTCGAGAGTGCCACTACTTACATAAAAGGCTACTGACTAAAATCCATCCATTAACAAATTTGACTGAAATCCATGAACAAATTCGACTAAAATCCGTGAACATTATTCCTAGCTGCATTTGTGGAATTCACCTTCGGCATGCACAGGATAGTTGCATTTATTTTTGCCGCAGTACAGGTGGGAGTTCTTGTGGCGGGCTTGATAGTGTGCCTTTAACCCATGCAGATTCTCAAAGGTCGATGAACAGGCGCCACAGCCCACCTTCAAGTGACTCGCGATGTGGTTCAAGTACGTGTTAGTAACATCGGATTGAAATCCACAGAAGTTGCAGTTCATTTTGTTGAGCTGCCAAGCAAATCAACAATAAAATTAATGAGGGTTTAGGGTTGAAATCCACAAAACAACTTAAAATTACATCATCATCATTTGGTCTTTAATTAGTTTGGTTCTCTTACTAATTAAATTAGAAAGAAACATATATTATATTGATTATCAAAAGCTAACCAAACAGAGGTTATCTAGAAAAAGTAAAAGGAAGAAAGAACCAACCTTTATTTGCCTTAATGGGGAGAGAGAGAGAGATGAGAGAAGTGGACGTAGTTCCAAACTGAGTAGAGCACTGGAGAGAGAGAAAAATGAGGGAAAACAACAATCAAGAAATTCATTATCAAAAGCTAACTAAACAGGGCTTGGAATGTAGAAAAAGTAAAAGGAAGAAAGAACCAACCTTAATTTGCCTTAATGGGGAGAGAGAGAGAGATGAGAGAAGTGGACGTAGTTCCAAACTGAGGAGAGCACTGGAGAGAGAGAAATGAGGGGAAACAACAATCAAGAAATTGATTATCAAAGGCTAACCAATGTAGAAAAAGTAAGAGGAAGAAAGAAAGTACCTGTTGCCTTAATGGGGAGAGAGAGATGAGAGAAGTGGATGTAGTTGAGCAGAGGAGAGCACTGGAGAGAGAGAAAAATGAGGAGAAACAATAATCAAGAAAGCTCAGACGATAGAAAAACTGAGCGAGAGACTGAAATGCAATGAAATTAGTTAGTTACGAAAACCAACGGATTGAGAGCAGCGTGAGTGGAGAGTCCACGTGCCTTTTCTTTTTCGGTTGATGGAAACAGAATTAAAAATCTGCATGCATGGTGCTTCCAGAAACGTCTGATCTCTTCTCAGTCTCTCTCTCTCTCTCTCTCTGACCCTCTAAGGAAATAGAAATAGGTTTGGAAGCCTATCCTGACTCAAATCAAGAGCTGAGGCAACTGGCGTACAAATTAGGAGTTGACATCATATACGTGTATTGGGTTGTAAAATGCCAGAGTTATTGTGCTCTTAATTACGTACACGTGCAGAAATTTGGGTTTGTGTGTGTGCCAAAACTTTAGCCACGTACTGTCCTAATGTTTAAGGGTTTTAATTCAATTAACTTTAACCCGCACTAATCGATCCATTATCCAATCATAGGATAGGAACTTCGGAACAACACCCGGAAACCCCCTAAATTAAATTTACAACACAATGTGAGAAAAGAAATGTAATTGGTTTGGAGAAGGACCAGCTGCTGAAAGTCAAATGAGAAAGACCCACAGTCACCACTTACATATAAACCCACGTTACACTCATCTCCCTCTCTCTCCCTCTCTCTCTCTTCAACCAAAACACACACAACACACACTATTCACCGCAAGCACTATATTATTTTGCACGGATAGAAAGAAAAAAACAGAAGAGAAAACTGTAGAACCAGAAACAAAATTAGAAACAAAATATTAAAGGAGCCATAATCAAGTTGAACAAAATATTAAACAGAGACCTAGATTAACATTAACAGGGTTTATTGTTCACCTTTTTATCTTGGTTATCTCTTCTCTGAGCTCATGAATCTCTCTGGTACAAGTGGGGTCTCGAGTGGGATTATCACCAGGCTCCCACCCAGGTGGTGGGGTCCAATAAGGGTCTTGAACCCCAGCTTGTTTTCTGATATCAAACAGATCAGCACTCTCCAGCCAATACTCCATGGCTCCATCTGCATTGTGGCGCCGCCTAAACCTCTCGGCTCCACCTGGCGCCACCTTGCACGCCATGTGTTTGAGCAAACCCGTATCCCCAATCAGCTTCCTTGCCTCAGACCTCAGCGCTGGCCTCAGTATTGGGTTCCCAAATTTAGCACCCTTGGCCTTCATCACCCTCAGCATGTTTTCCTCTGCAGCCTTGTACATTAAACCCAAATCAAAGCATGAACACATATTAACAAAACCCAACTTCTTAAACAAAGATCAAACTAACTAATATAGCTAACCAAAACAATTAATTAAGAACAGAGTTCTCACCTCAGTGCAGACCACCTTGCCACTGTGTGTTTTACCAATTTCTTGTTACTCCGATAGGGAACTGCTACAACTTGATTCTGCTTTTGACGTTTTGTTATAGATTTTGATTTCTTTGTGGTTTTCTTGGGCTTTCTATGGTGATCTTGGCGCTTCCTCTTCCTACTCCTAAGGTTCATCTTCCACGGCACAACAGGAGGAGCCTCGTCCTCTGTTTTCACATCTTCTTCTTCTTCTTCTTCTTCTTCTTCAATATCATCATCTTCCTCTATCACAGTTATTGCTTTCTCATCATCCACAGAGAAATCATCACCATTTTCCTCTAGCTCTGCTAGCTCTCTCCCCTTCTCTTCTTCTTCGTCAGTACTAGAGCTCGGTGAAGGCTCGTGCCTGCGCAGGTACCGAACTTGCCGGCGCTTACCCCACGTCACCATCCCAGTGAACTTTAGCTCCGACCAGCATGGACCCTTTTTGGAAACCACACTCCTGTTCATGACCTCACCGCTCACTGCTGGGCTCGGTGAAGAGCTTATTCTCTGGTAATTTGTCGCAGACGGTGTAGCTGCCCAGAAGCTCCAAATGTTGCTCCGATCTGCAATTTCCTGAGGTGGGATTCTCCCGTAAAGCACCTCTGAAGCCATTTCTGCTGGCATCACGTACTTCTCGTTAAGCTCTGGAATCTGCTTGGGCAATGGTTTTGCGTAGCCTCCTTCGGTGATGTGAGTGTGGAGAGAGTGAATGCCTGGGAACCTCACAGCCACTTTGAGCGCACCCTTCTCACTCACCTGCATACACAAATGGACCCAAAACTCAAAACCCCTATGAAATCGAAATCAAAATCAAATCTGAAAAAGAAACAAGAATAGTGAAAACTATTTGTGGGTTTTGGTGAAGGCGAGTACCATGACGACCCGAACCGCCTTGAGCTGTTCTGGGGTGGTTCTGGGAGGGAGCTTAGAGTGGTCGATTTCATAGTAAGAGCCCACTTTAATGTGATCTATAGCCTCTGCAAAACCCATAAAAATTCACAAAATGAATCAAACAGTTGCAGATAATGGTCCAAAAACGAATCAGAAGAAGATCAAAAAGGGGGTGTACCTAGTAGCAAACAGATGGGTGACGGAGTGGCAGTTGTGGGCAGAGCATGTCTGGGCAAACAAGGGCTTGGTGCCTTATTTTGATCTTGCTTCTTTTCCAAGTACTTCATCATCTTCTGGTAAATGAGAAAGACCCACAGTCACCACTTACGTATAAACCCACGTACACTCATCAGTCATCACCACCCTCTCCCACCCTCTCTCTCCCTCTCTCTCTTCAACCAAAACACACACTATTCACCGCAAGCACTATTTATATATAGACCAAAACGGCATAACAGAAAATAACAAAATAGTATTTTGCACGGATAGGAATATATGTGTGTGTTGTCGCATTTTTGTTCATTTTTAAAAAATCGCATTTTAAAATTTTTTATTACAAAATTTCTGAAGACCATTTTGCCCTTGAGCTGGTTCATGCCGATTCTGCATGGACGCGCGTTTTGGGCGAATGTAGGGAACAGTAATGTTCTAGCATTTAATAATTAATTGTTCTAATTAGGCACCATAGGGTTTTTCAATGAGAACCGTTGGATTTGTCTCATGTTTCAATTAAAACCGTCGGATTAGTTTCAACAGAGAGTGAGCCGTGATTTTCTACTGTACTTTGTATAAATAATAAAAAGCTTTACTTTTTTTAGAGTGAAATTAGAAAAATGTGTAGAGAGAGAGAGAAATGGAGCGAAAATTGTTATGACCGGAAACCGATTTAGCAGTGGACCATGGAGTGGGAAGGAAATAACTTGGAGGTCACGTGGAGTGGTCCCCTACTCTACTCTACTCCCACGGTCCCACGGTCCCACGGTCCCACCCCAGAGGCAGGAGAGGCAGGAGAGGCAGGAGAGAGAGTTGGTTAATATATATTGTTTTGTTTTTATCAGCAAATTATAACTTTCTGTTGCACATAAAAATGAGGGAGCTGCCCAATTGATCAATAGGTCACATAACTTGGTGGTGAACATAACATTTTATATGCATATTGGCTTTAGACTTTATTGGTAATCTTGTGGGTTAATTGATGTATCAACTATGTTGTGTTTAGTTTTTGAATTCTATTTGAGGAGCAACTCATCATGATATTCAAATTTCCACACTTTGCCCCCAATACTAATTTGGCTTTAGTCAAATTGTCAAAACTTGATGATATAGATATATATATATGTATGTGTAAAAAGCTTAAGAAACAATTGTGTTAGGTTTTAGTGTTGGGTACATTTACTGTGAATGGTGTTTCCAAAGTAGATTCAGAAATTCTTATGATACCTTAAGTTGAAGGTATCCTCTTCTCTTTCACAGGACTTGAATGAGAGCTGTGGCCTCAGAAATTTCAATGCAATACATACAGTTTATATGCATGTATGGGCTTATTCAGTCACATCTAATACCGGCCTTTATCAATATGGGCCTCTCCCTATATTTCATATTCAAAGAAAATAAAATATATTCGGACGAAAAAGAAAATACACCTACGCGGTCCCTGCCGTTAGATTTACCCACACGCCGTCCATCATTTTCTGAGCCCCAATCCCAATCCCAATAGCACTAAGATCTAATTAGCTAACTTAGGACTCGTTTGGGACTGCTTCTTTAGGAAGTACTTCTGCTCATAAGCGCTTATAACAAAAGCACTTTTATTATAAAAATCTTGAATTTTCATAAAAAAAATTAAAGTGCTTTGTGGAAAAGCACTTGGGAGTGCTTCCTGAAGAAGCACATAGCATGTGCTTATCCAGGAAGCGCTTCTATGACTTAAAAGCGCTTCTAAAATTTTCTGCCAAACGTTGTCAGAAGCGCTTTTAGTTATCAGAAAGCGCTTTTGGCTCTTCCAGAAGCACTCCCAAACAGGCCCTTAGTGGTTGTGGAATGATTAACATCAGCAGAATTAATTCATCTGTGACAAATACAGAATTAATTCACTTCCAAATACATATCCAAATATTTCGCATGTAATTATGATTTATAAAAGTGAAGTTCCTCTCTATATCACGGTGATCTTGTATTACTTAATTAAACAGATACCAAAAGATATGGAGAGGAACTTCGCATGTATGGGAAAAAAAATTGTTTTAAAAAAAAAGGGTACCATTTTTGAGGTGTCAATTCATCTTTATAATTAATTATACAATTAATACTAGAAGCTCACACCAATACTTTTTTTAAACATTTTTCATTACAAGCCACATTATTCTTCGCCCGCATTTATTCAAATAAATAAAAAAAAATCTAATTTTTAGCATATTTGATTAAAGAGCTCTTAATCGAGTTGTATTCTTTGCCCCAATATTCTTTGGCAAATATGAATTTCATCTTACAAAAGTCATTAGTGTCTATTTTATCTACACGGATAGAAAGAAAGTGTGTTTAAGTTAGTGGTTTTAGACAAGTTTTCTACTAGGGCAGTTGAGGTCTCAAACAAAAAAAATTAAATAAATAATAGAACTTGTATACGTGGTCAATGGTGTGGGGTAGTGGAAGAAAGACTTGGTTGAAACCAATGTAGTTTCTTCCATGACCCTTTCGTTGGGTTATTGAGACGACCCCAAAGTCTCTTCTTTGGAGTTTTCAATACGTCCGGCTTAACAAATGATTCAGAGAATACATATTACATATAAAGCTGTATTAATTGGTTGCTCACTTAGTTTCCAGCTCCTCTTCTTTCATTGCAATGTCTACACCAGCGGAGTAAGCAACCTCTCTCTCTCTCTCTCTCTCTCTCTCTCTCTCTCTCTCTTAGAATTCAAATCATCTTTCTGATCAATTTGGTTTTGGATGATCTTATCATAGGAATCAAAGAACAACATGGTTGAAAGTTTTTATTTACTTTATCATACAACTGTAATAAGCATTAAAAACCACTACACCAATCAATTAAGGATTTGATCAACATTCTCCCAGTCAACAATAAATTAAACAATCTGCTAAATTATGCTTTTCCTAATTCACTTTGCTAAATTATGTCGTAAATTACGATCATTTTTATCCTTTCATGGATGCATGTAATTTTTATTATTTTCCATGGAAAATTAAAGAAGCTCGTCTCTGCGCCCGTGAATTTTGCAGATACTATCGATCGCTGCCACCGGTGAGCAAGACCTATGGAGTTGCCTGCTTTATGACTGCAGCTGCCTTGTACTTGCAACTTTATTATCCTCGGAACATTGCGCTTGATTATGGCCTCGTCATAAAACGTTTCCAGGTAAAACTAAAATCTCAAAAATCTTCTCTAATTATGGATTATTCAAGGCCGGAATTTCTTCTTTCTTCATTCAAATTTTTCTGCTTCTGATCATGCTTTGTGCTTTTCTTTTTCTTTTACTAATGATGATTAATGAAGGTTTGGAGGCTTATTACCAATTTCTTCTTCCTGGGGCCCTTCTCATTCCCGTTTGCGTTTCGTCTTATAATAATGTGAGAAACATATGACTTTTCGATGGCATTAAGATAACATCATTATCCATGCCTCATTTGAATGATACAATAACTTGTCACATTGTCCAACTTCATATATTATATATTTGTAAATATTCACCAAATGTATATATTCTTTGGACTTATATATATATATATAAATTGTATTTGTTTCCAATTTGCAATAGAGCAAGATATGGCGTGGGATTGGAGAGAGGACCGTTTGACAAGAGGACGGCAGACTATGTTTGGATGTTGGTATTTGGTGCCATTTCACTTTTGGTAAGCAAAACTATTTAATTTACTATTTGTTTCTCTAATTCTAATTGGACCAACATTGCCAAAGCATTCTATACATGTATTTAATTCCCAAACCTAGCTGTTCCGGCCTGCACTATTATTCTGATTTCTTTATTGTTTAAATTTTTTTTTCTTTCTTTTTTGGGTTCCATAGACATTCATGTTGCAAATTGTTAAAATAATGACACATATATATACATGGATTATTTATAGGTGATGGCTGTTGTTCCATATTTGTTGTCTCCGTTTATGGGACCTTCAGTGGTTTTCATGATCGTGTATGTATGGTCCCGTGAGTTCCCAAATGCACGTATCAACATATATGGGCTTGTGTCCTTGAAGGTGCTCTCTCTCTCTCTCTCTCTCTCTCTCTCTCTCTCTCTCTCTCTTAAGTTTAGCCATCTCATTTTGGAAATTATATAACACATGTTGTGGGGTACATACAGGGATTTTATCTTCCTTGGGCACTGCTGGGTCTGGATTTGATATTTGGGGATCCTTTGAAGCCAGACATTCTAGGGATGGTTGCAGGACATATCTATTACTTTCTAACCGTGCTTCATCCTCTTGCTGGTGGAAAATTCATGCTCAAGACTCCTCTCTGGGTGTATCCTTTTATGGATCAACAATATTTGATTTCATTAGTATTGAAGATTAAGTAGACATTAATAAATATATATGCATAATTGTAGACCTTAATGATGAATAATTTGCAGGCACAAATTGGTAGCCTTCTGGGGTGAGGGAACCCAAATCAATTCCCCGGTGGAACGCAATCCTCACGCCGGAGTTGCGTTCCAGGGAAGAAGCTTCCGACTCAACGGTCGAACAACCACTCCACCACAAACAACTCAGGAACCTTATAATAATCAGCAGCAGGCAGCAGCTGATGGAGTTGCATTCCGTGGAAGAAGCCAGCGCCTCAACGGTCGTTAATTAGCTAATCATCTAGCCAGCGCCTACTCACATATGATATATCATCTATGAAATATTTCTATTTTCTAATCAACGTTGTGTACGTACCTTTGCACATTTGGACCCTTTTCTATTCGGTTTGCATGCATGGTTACAATTTACAAATAAAGCTATGTTCAAAAGACTGGGGGCATGTGAAATCCAAATGCGTTGACCACAGACAACAAGAAGACCTACCAACAAAAATGAAACAAATGGAAAAGAGTTTTTCTATTTAAACCCTACACTTCTCTTTGTTCACCCCAACTTCTAATTCAAATTTCACAATTTCTAAGAAAACCCCACTATCTACCCAAACTACCCCTAAATACACACCAACATAAAAAATAAAAAACTCACACCCCACACCCCGCTATCTTAACCATAGCTCAAATGGTTAGAAGCAGTTATCCCTCAATGTCCTATATTCAAATCTCTCCTTCCTCAATATCAACTTGTATAAAAGATTGACAAAAAGTTTTTTTTTTTTTTTTTAAATTGTTGAGTTCAAAACCATGTTAACCAGTAATCACATTAATGTTGTCAGCGAATAATACAGATCAAAGTATAACTTGAGTGCAAACTACAATCAGCCATCCCTCTGTCATGTACCAATATTATAAAAGCAAGGAAACACACACAATTTGAATAGAGCATCCTCTCCTTTGGTATGAGAGAAACTTTGCACAGCACCTAACGCATTGCAAGAAGAAGATTACAAAGACACAGACCCTCAACTTCTCCACCTTTGCGTGCCCTGTTCTTCAGTCACAGCAAGGCCCATGTCTTCCAAACCAAAAGGTGGGCATTAGTCAACCTCTTACAACTACGCGATTCAATGGCTGATCATAATGTGGTCTCTTACAATGCAATGATTGAAGGTTACTGAAGACAGGATAATTAAGATGCCTGAAGCGCTGGATCTTTTCAACGAGATGAGGCTTAGATTGCTCCACTCGAGTCTCTCAACATTCGTCAACCTTCTTGTTGTTTCAGCTGATTTATTTACTTTGGAATTGAGCAAGCAAATCCATGGCCTGGTCACCAAATATGGGTACTTTTGGACATAATTGCTGGCAATGCTCTCATAGATGTTTATTTTAAGTGTGTGGGGGTGTGTGTATAGATATACTAGGATTAAGTATTAAGTTGGATGACCTTTTTTTGTCTTTTTACACAATAATAAAACTTAAGATCTTAATGATTTAATTGTTGGGGTGAACAAAGAAAATGTGGAGTTTAAATAGAAAAACTCAATGGAAAATGACTTTTCCTACGTTGGCCATAGCTAAGCTAATCGACGACATGCATTGAAAAGGTTGAGCTACCAAGTCAACTTGTCCACATTGACTTAATGTTGTCCCTTTCAACTCTACTGTATATGTGACATTATGAATCATATGATTTGAGGTTCACTTGTAGGTCCTCGTCATCAATTTATAGGTCCTCGTCATTAATTTAAATGAGGACCTACTTTAATAAGAACGCGTTTACTTGTAGGTCCTCGTTATCAATTTGTTACAAGTTTCTCTTTATTTGGTCACATGAGATGTTCATGTTAGTCTTTGATTGTTAACATTTTATTTGTACATAATTTTGCTCTAATTTCTGTGACAGTCTTATTATTAATACCTTTCCTTTTTATGAAAAACAAGAAAGGAAAATTGACAGCCCTATATATATTAACAGCTCATCAGCTATCAAATTAGATTCATGGTAACTTAGATATGCCCTGTAAATGATATCAAAGACGTACGTTAAGGAGGACGCATTTTCTATTTAAATTTGTAATAATGATCAAAACTTAAGAATCACCTTCGATAATTAAAAAAAAATATTGTATATGGAAATGAAGTCAAGTTTCTATGAGGCAGGCAGGCAGGCAGGCAAGTCAAACTATAAGGAAGTGAAGTAATATTCTTTGCAATTTTGGCATTGGTCTTATCCCCTCGTGTTTTTCATTTAGCCCAACAACCAATGTCCCAAATCAGGAGAAGATTCGTGGTAGTTTACACAGTGCCATAATTTCAACTTAGCAAACCCAAAAAAATAAAAAAATAATAATAATATATAATCCAAGATTGCAACTTTGTTTCTTGCTGAGACAAATTAGAGTTCAAAAGAACTAAAAATAAATAAAAATTACTTATATATAAGTAGGTCCTCATTTAAATTAAAATTTGTAAATTAATGCTACTGATTGAGCGATAGATACAAAAGCAAGTTGCACTTTCGTTGAAAACGAACAGAGATTGAAAAGTCATACCAGAAACTGAACAAATTATTCCTTTTAATATAGTCAATCAAGTTGCAAGTTGTTGATTTTAATCCACAGAGGAACCCAAAAAGAAAACTGTCGTAGCTTTCAGATACAGGGCAATGCCTCACGGAAAAGTTGGCTCTTAATTTTTAAGAGGCAAAATAAGCTTTGGTGGCAGCTAAACTATTCCAACTCTGGAAATGGTGGTTGAATGTTCAAAATGGTTTTGCAGAGGGAGATATTTATGAATTTTTCTTCTTTTCTCAAGAGGATTTGAAGAAGAGCTCAAAGTTTGAGTCTTGACCCTTAAACAACTGGTACGTTCTTATCTTGTTGTTGTGTGGTGTGGTTTTTCGTGTAAGTTGGCGTCTGTGTACTTTCTGGGTTTTTGAAATTTGTGAGCCTCTTTTTGGTTTTGAATGGCACTTTGCATATGTGTTTGCGAGCATGTCTTTGTGTATTTAAAATTTTGGTTCTTTTTGGTAGTTTGAGGCTTATTTCATGAAAATTCATTTCTGAGTCTGCCAATTTCTCTCTCTCTCTCTCTCTCTCTCTCTCTCTCTCTCTCTCTCCTGCCTGCTTGTCGTAAGATTTATGTATTGCTGGGTAATTTGAATTGAAGAAGGTTCATTCTCTTCAAGATATGCCTACGTGAAGTTGTTATTTTAAATCCTTAATATTTGTATAATAAAATTCTGATTTATTTGATTTATCTGGTCTGTTGCGAGTAGTAATTGTGCTCTTGTGCATTGCTTCTACATGTTACAGAGGATTCAGTGTAACAGAGGAGTGGCAGAGTAATGGATGGAAGTGAAATTATGGAAGCACATGGCAGTGTCGCATTGGAGGCGGCACCTTCCCCTCTTTCAATTGTTGCCATTGCTATTAATGGGAACAGAAAGAGCAAATACATTGTTAGATGGGCTCTGGAGAAGTTTGTTCCAGAGGGAAATGTTTTCTTCAAGTTGATACATGTGCGCCCAAGGATTACTGGAGTTCCAACACCAAGTAATATAAACATGAGTATAAATTTGAGACATTCATAAAATGGGTTTAGCTAATGAATTCATTCATTTGGTATTCAAATTTTTTTAAGACTGATTTGGTATTCAAATATTTTTATTTATTTAAATTTACTGTTATGTTTACAAATTCTTGTTTTTGTTGTGAATATAGTGGGAAATCTGATTCCATTGTCACAAGTACGAGAAGATGTAGTAGCTGCATATAGAAAGGAAATTGAGTGGCAGGCAAGTGAGTTGCTTCTTCCATTCAAGAAAATGTGTGCTCAAAAGAAGGTACAACTTTCTTATTTGTTGAAGTTTGATATTAAGAAAATCCAAGGTAACAAAAGTGTAAACCTCACTGTTTTGAATGTAGGTGCAAGTAGATGTTGTAGTCATTGAATCAGACGACGTGGCAAATGCAATAGCAGAGGAGATTGCTAAGTCTGCTATAAGCAATCTTGTCTTAGGTGCCCCATCTCGTGGCATGTTTAAAAGGTATTTTGTTGGCATGTAGTTGTTCAAATGGGATACTTTGATGACTGTGGTTTGTGTGGGGAAAAGGGGATGGAAATTTCCAGAGTTTGGCAGCCTTTGTATTTTGATACTTTGCATACAAAATCCAATTGCGAGATGATATCATTTTGGATACAGAATTCCTGCTTGTCATCTGGTAAATCATTTAACAGGTTCTAGATAGGTTCAAATTGAGCTTCCGGTGAACAAAAGGGTGAACTAAATATTCACGGAGGCATGTGTGCATGTGCGCACATACACACACACACACAAGCACAAAAGAGAGTTTCTGCATGTTTAAAGAAAAATGAAAGTAACCTTTGTCATTTGTCATATCAATATATTTCTACAGAACATAGAGAACCATCCATGTAATCCTCTTTGTATTTTGTGAAAAATTATTTCTCAAAATTGCCTTGTGGTTGATCATGTTAACAATTTAATGCTCCTAGGAAACAGAAGGGACTGTCCTCAAAAATCTCAGCTTGCAGCCCAAGATTTTGCACCATATATGCTGTTTCAAAAGGAAAATTGTCATCAGTACGCGCATCTGATTCCGAGTCAGTTGCAAGCATTAGAGATGACAATAGTGACACATGTTCTATCAACAGTTCTTCAAGTTATGCGTCCGGCTCACAGACAGGTAATGCACATTACTAAGGTTGAGTGACATCTTGATATCATGTAATGTGCAACATATACATTCTTTAGAGAATGGGGGCTCTTGCAACCATAGCAATAAATGATAATGTACAATGTCAATGATGCTAACTATGTAAGCAGCTGAAATATTTAACTCAGTTCTTCTGTTTTCAAGGCACAGATCGTGGCTCGGTTGGTTCATACTCCCATTTTCGTTCTCCTTCCCTTCCAATGCAGCGATTTCAAGCTCTTACAACTATCAACCAGACCCTTCTTAGTACAAAGACAAATTCCAATGAAACCATTCATTCTAGATGCCAATCTCAGGATCTTGGGGAAGGGAAGGATGGTATGAGTTCTTGTCCCAGCAACTCAGATGTTGTGCATACACCGAGTCAGCCCTCTAGTAGTGGAAGCTTCCTAACAGATAATCGGTCATGGACTTCTGATCAAGTGTCCACCTCAGACGTGGTTACAGATTATTCATCTGAGAGCCAGGTAGCACTTTCTGACTTCTTTTGACATGGTTAAGTGGTGCTTTCCTATGAATTATGCAGAAAAATACATATTAGGAATTGCATACATGAGATGTGGTCTACGGACTACATAGTAGGTAGCACTCTTTGATTTCTAAACATCCTTCCTATGCTATTTTTATTCAGTTGAAAGTACTTGCCTGCAGAATTCATGGTCTCATGTGTTTCAAATTGCTGAAAAGTTTTTACTTAAACCATCTTAACTTGTTAAGTCTATGATAAGATGATTGAAAAGTGCGGGAGACCTTTTCTCAACCAATACTACATTTTTTTTGAATTAGAACTCTTAATTATTACGTATATGGAAACACGTCCCTTGGTCAGGTCAATAAGGGGAGCTGTATGTATTAAAGAAGTAATGGAATTGTTCAATTTGCACTTCTTGCAGGCAAATATCAACTTGGAGCTAGAAAAGCTGAGAATTGAACTCAGACATGTCAAAGGAATGTATGCAATGGCTCAAAGTGAGACTATTGATGCTTCTAGGAAGGTAGGTATTCTTATCCTTGTTGACAGCAGTAAATACTTTCTGTTTCTTTATTTCCCCATCCAGTTTAGCTTCTGTAATAGTTAGCAAGATCTCGTAAGATCTTCGATTCAAATAGTAAGAAATATTTCTTTTTGATAATCAGATAAACAATTTAAATAAACGCCGATCAGAGGAAGCAATAAGGCTCAAGGAGATAAATTCAATGGAGGAGAAAGCCAAAGTATTTGCAACACAAGAGAAGGAGAAGTATGAAACTGCTAAGATAGAGGCTGAGTATATGAGAGAATGTGTTGAAAGAGAAGTTTCGCAAAGGAGAGAAGCAGAGATGAAAGCCATGCATGATGCCAAGGAGAAAGAAAAGCTTGAAAGTGTACTTGTAGGTCCTGTGCAGCAATACCAGAAGTTCATGTGGGATGAGATTGTTACTGCCACCTCATCTTTCTCTGAAGATCTTCGGATTGGAATGGGTGCGTACGGAACTGTCTATAAGTGTAGTTTTCATCATACAACTGCAGCAGTGAAAGTTCTTCACTCTAAAGAGAATCGCCAAACTAAGCAATTCCAGCAGGAGGTATGTAACATGCATGACTAAATCTGGATAGTAGCTCATATAGATGTCAAACTATCTTTCCTGCATTAGTGTCGTTCACATTGAAACTAAGGGTGGTATTGAACCAAACAAAATGGCATATCAAAATATTTGTTGAAGAAATCGCCTGTTGTATAATCAAGAGCTCCTTAGGAGTTCAGTAGGTAATTTATCTATTTAGGTGTAGTTAAGTTTCCCAGTCTCTGCTCTTTAGTCAGAACTAAAAAAGAAAATAAGTGTGTGCTCTTTAGAGTCTCTGCTTTTAATAATGCATGCAACCATTCTCATCTTGTGCTGTGTTGGTATTACGCATAGAAGAAACTGTAAAATTGGGAACCTGTGATACCCAACTGAACACTAATTTACATTTTCTATTGGCTTGCAGCTTGAGATCCTGAGCAAAATCCGCCATCCCCACTTGCTTCTCCTTCTTGGTGCATGTCCTGAACACAGTTGCCTAGTGTATGAGTACATGGAGAACGGTAGCCTGGAGGACAGGTTGCTCCAGAAAAACAGTACACCTCCTATTCCTTGGTTTGACAGGTTCCGAATTGCTTGGGAAGTAGCCTCAACTCTCATCTTTCTTCACAGCTCAAAGCCAAAACCAATCATCCATCGTGATCTGAAACCAGCAAACATCTTGCTTGATCATAACCTTGTGAGCAAGATTGGTGATGTTGGTCTTTCTACAATGCTTAACTTAGACCCTTCTATGTCCAGTATATACAATGACACAGGGCCTGTTGGGACTCTCTCTTACATAGACCCGGAGTATCAAAGGACTGGGATTATCTCTCCACAATCTGATGTTTATGCTTTTGGAATGGTGATCTTGCAGTTGCTGACTGCAAAACCAGCAAGAGCTTTAACCCATCTGGTGGAAACAGCTATTAGTAATAGAAATTTAATGGATGTTTTGGATCCTAAAGCTGGGGTTTGGCCAATGGAAGAGACGAGGCAGTTGGCTGAATTGGGATTGAGTTGTGCAGAGCTTCGACGCAGAGACAGACCTGACTTGAAAGAGCAAGTAGTTCCTCTGCTGGAGAGACTGAAAAAGGTTGCTGATAAAGCAAGTGATTCAGCTTCCACAGTTCAGTGTCGCCTACCTCCTAACCACTTCATCTGTCCAATTCTTAAGGTACACATAATCTTTAGTACCTATATTTATAGTATTGTTTAACCAGAAAGCCTTAGAATTTGGAATGGGGTTTTAACTCAATGACAGCTTAAGGAGAGATCCTACTCAATATCCTTAATGTTAAAGCTTCACATTAGTCAGTCGCAGTCGGACATTTGATACATTTCCTAAATTTCTAATGGATTGTTTTTATGGTATAATTTATATTTTTGACCAAATATTGGCTTCAATTATTCTTCATGTTCGTGTAAATCCCATATAATATGCTATTTTCTTTTGTCACAGGATGTAATGCAGGAACCTCGTGTGGCTGCGGATGGTTACACTTATGATCGCAAATCAATAGAGACATGGATTCAAGAGAACGATAAGTCGCCGATGACGAATTTGCCATTGCCAAATAAGAATCTAATACCAAATTATACTCTTCTTTCTGCCATTATGGAGTGGAAGTCCAGGGGACAATAGCATCTACTTTTGTTGATTGTTATTATTAAGGTTAACAATGATGGGTTAGTTTATTTGACCCCTTGCTCTTGCTGTAAAGCGTAGTGAGGCATAGGTTAGCGTTTTAGAGTTGAATTTGTCGCCGGTTTTGTTGTAGGAGTAAAGAAAAGGATTTCTAATTTCTCTGTTGTGCAAAAGAAGTAAAAAAGATTCAAGAATTGAAGGCCAAGAAAGTATTTAATCAGAAAACATGAAGACCAAAACTGGGGCAAGATGTTGGAATAATTGCATGTGGTCCTCTGTTATTTTATACCAATATGCCACGTATCATGCCATATACGTAAACAAATTATATATTTGTTTGATTGTGAAAAAGGGTGTAGAAGGAGATTTTGACCAAGAAAGTGACAAATTTCATCAAGTAGTGCAATGGTGCTTTTTAATCATAATAATGGCATCCCTCCACACCTTAGCTAAGCTAAGATAGTGATCTCTCATGGTGCTTGGACCCAGACCAACTTAAACCCACCCACCACCCACCATGTTCTAATGTGGCAGCTAGAGATCATTAAGAGAGAGTGACAACCCAATTGAATTTTGATTTTTAGATGAAACAGATTATTTTGGAACCAAGTTCTGGAATGCCTTGTTAGTCTTGAAATTCATATGAAACTAGTTGACCACGATTAATTTGTGGTTAATCTGCTATGAGAACTTGAAGTTTAAATTCTTAATTCAAAGTTGCAGACAATCTTGGGTCTAGATGGAAAAAGAATAATTTCATTGCTCACTGTTGATTAAAGGTACCTTCTTTTTCTTTTTTGCTAAGTGATACCTTCCCTTAAAAGATTTTGTGAAAGCTAGCTGGGACCATATGGAATTCATAGTCTCAGGCTGCTCATACTTAGCAATAAAGAAATCTACAATCTGACAAGCTAAATCACCAACTTTTCGATCTTTGTCGGATGGCTGAAATCTGAAACTTTTGCTCAAAGCGTGTAACCATAAGCTGAAGTTTTCAGCTTTTTGGCTTCAAAGAGTATATATAACCATCTATATTTTTACTATACATGTCAAAGTCATCATGGTCATTGTTTTTGTCATGGCCATCAATCATGCTGATTTTGTAAATCAGAAATATTCTCAATCAAGGCACTATGACCTACCAAACAGTGCTCAAGTAGAGTGTTCAGTTACCAATCTCTTCAAGCTTCCATAGAACTTGCTTGGTGTTTGGTCTAAGTGATGGAGAAGGAGAACAGCATGTCATAGCAAGCTGAAAGAACTTGAGAATCTGTTCTTTAGTTACTGGGACTTCGTCGTCAATGTTGCTGTTGAGAAGTAAATCTGGATGGAACAAGTCATGGATTCTATGTCCAAGGACTGCATTTCTCATAAAATCCGGCAAACTAAAATCCTCATCAGGTGTTGTTGGGTTTTGATTGATTGGTTCCTTCCCTGTGAGTAATTCAAGTAAGATAACCCCAAGGCTGTATATATCAGTCTCTTCAGTTGCATCCCTCATTTTGATCAGCTCAGGGGCTTTGTAGCCTTGAGATGCTGAAAGTTCAAGCATTTCTTGGCCAGCAGTAGGATTCAACAGAAGATGTAGGCTGAAATCTGAGATGAATGGTTGGTAATGGCGATCCAGAAGTACGTTTTTCAACTTGAGATTGCCATGAATTATAGGCTTCTCCAACCCAGTGTGAAGATGATCCAAACCTTTTGCTATTCCAACTGAGATTCTATAGATTATGGCCCATTTGTGAGAGTCAGGATTGCTTTCTGTCATTGGAAACAAAGTTTATCTATCAATTCTAAGTTATGGGAAGTTGGGAGCTAAAATATACAGACATAAAGATTTTTAATCAGAGAAGAGCTCTAAATTTGGTAATGAGTCACAAGCACAGATGTTTAATTTTGCTAAGGCATAGTCATCCTTATCTCAAGGGAACATGGGAGGAGAAACTGACAATGTTAGGTGCTGACAGGTGACAGATATAATTTATGAAGGAAAGAATCCAAATAGTGTTGTATAACGTGCAGAAAAAGAGATCAAAATTATGCAGACAAAAACAGATAAGTCAAAAGCAGAACAGGGAAATTGGAAATTAGAACAATACAGAATTTTGTAAGTGGAAGTGATAAAAGACCTGCCAGAAGTTAAACTTCCTGTTCCACAACACAAAGTTTGCAAATTTGAAATGAATGAGCAATCCAAACCCAGGTGAAAAAGAAAAGATTTTTTTTGAAGCCCCGGTTTCTCTCTGTTCATTTAATTTTGTTCACAGCCAATATCCAAAAGTTCTGAATTTGCCTCTTTTTTGGTTATATATTTTTCACTTACCAAAAAAAAAATTTCAGAATTTGATTGTTTTGAAACACAATGACAGCAGATATTCTTTTGTTGAGTGAAGACTTAATATCCTCATTTACCAAACAAAAGAAAAAGAGATCAATCTTTCTTTTTCATTCTATGCATTTTCTTGGCAACCAAACATAAACAAACAGAAAGAAGATAGATCAACAAGGCAAGAGAATCACCTCTTACAAACTGAGCCAGATTGCCACGCCAATAAAACGGATGAATCAAAAGCTTCTCACCCCTTGGCCCTGCATAAAATCCCAGAAGAGGCACCAAATTGGGGTGCCTTATACTCCCCAACATCTGAACCACTTCACCAAAATCTTCAACTTTTGCAGTGCACACAGGCCTCAAAAACCTCAGCAACCTCACTGAGTTGCTACTCTGCAACAAAGCCTTGTACAGTGTTCCATAGTTTGACTTTCCAATCACCTCCCCTGGAGCATCTAGTATGTCGCAAATTGTGAGGTCTTGGCCATCCTGAAAAATCATCAAGTCCTCTACCTCCACATCATCTTCATGCTTCTGCTCTGAGTTTTCCACATCTTGTTGCTCATGTTTTGCACTTCTTTTGCAGTAAAAGTAGATCAAAAATACAAAAGATACCAAAACTCCAGTTGAGGTCAGTACAAGAATCAAATTAAGCAGGTGGGTGTTCTTCATTCTGTCAAAAATGCAACTCCTTCATATCAAACATTGAAAACTTAGACTACGAAAGTGAGAAATAACAAAAGATTAGGATCTGGTTTTGATGTGAAGGATTGAGAAAGTGTTAAACATAATGCAGATATGGCTAGTATGCATGTAGAACAGATTTCTTTCCATACAAGTAGGAGTAGAAGACAAGAAGATTGAGATGGGATGGTACTTTTGGGAGGAGAGGGTGTGTGTGGAACCCAAGATTTTTGGGAATTTTAAGGGGGATCAAAATTAATCCTTTTATCTACTAGGAAAATGGACTTTGAGAGACAGACTTGTGCACAAAGAAGTTATGGAGTTGAAGAAGAGAGATCAGAAGATGAGCACATATACTATGCTCAAAACTTGTAAGACAGATCTATGCCATGTGAATGTGATGTTGCATCTGTTTTTGACTGTGAGTGTGTGAAATTTCCCTTTTGCCACCAAATATTCCTCAATATCATTTTTGCATGCACCTTAGCATGTCATTTTCTGATTGATATGCTAATGCAAAAGAATAGTGAGATTTAGAAGATGGTGGATACATTGTTGTTAAAAAAAAAAAGTGGTATTTCTTCGCTTTTTATAAAAAAGCAATGATTTTGGATTTGTTCATTAAAAAAGTAGAAGGGTCGCAAAGGACTCACGGTTTGGAGCAATTACTCCTCTAAGTAAAATATTGAGTTCAAATCTTAGTATTCATATAATGCGTGTGAGTTTAGTATATTATCGCTCATCTCAATAAAAAAATATCCTTTAAAAATATATATAAATTAATAAATAAAGTAATTGGGTCAAGGAAGGAGAGATGTCACATCAGCTACAAGCTATGGAGTTACTGTCATCTCTATTATAAATTTAAGAGGGCAGATGACTATAGACAATTATTTTAGATGCAAAGTTGTCACAAATACGCGTTATTTTATCTTCCCTTACTTTAGAAACGATTTTTGACATTTTGTTCATATTTAACAAAAAAAATTGGAGAGAGAGTGAGAAACTGGAGATCAGAATTTCAGATCCAAATATGTTATTATATATAGATTTTTCTACGATGTCCATGGATTAATATTCCAACAAGAAAAATAGAAGAAAAAAAAATCCTGTAATTAACATGATGAAACATATTTAAATAGAGATTTTGCTTAAGTTGTAATTATATAAAAGAAACTTGAAGCTCAAGTTGTGATTATGAAGGCTAAGTGGTGGTTGAGACAATATGTTAATTAACGGCGGGGATTGATGAGTTGTTGTTTGAGGGCACCCACCATCAAAGTATTGATCAAAATCAGACGGGTGGGACCGGCCCACCACGTGAGGCATGATGCATTGTCAAACAAAGTGTCAGGCCCTCAGACCGTACACGCGGCAGCATCTAAATGCTTAATTAAACCAAATATTTCCTCAGCTGCAAAAGGACCACTTTGCAATTTGCGAATAGTTTCTAAGAAGATAACAGGCCCTTGGGGTGAATTCGTGAAAAACAGTAAGGCCATTTTTGACTATTCCGATTTCACACGTGAGAGTAGCGTGAGAGCCATTTTATTGAATATCGAATATCGAATATTGAAGATTGATGATGATGATGAGTGTTGTTTTGGCAACACAGTCCCTCAACTCGACCTAAATTACTATATAATACCCAAAAGATGGTCCTCCCAGTAAAGAGAAAAATAATATTCTCCAACCTAAAATAATATTCAGTAAGACAATGACTGGTGCTGTAAAGAAAGCAATTGGTCACAGCACTTTGCTCCTTACCCACAACAAGTTTGGGACCAATTCAACTCAAGAGACAAAGTACTGAGATAAAATTTGTGCAACTCAAAGTGGTCCTCCAATCCTATCTGATAATAAAGTATAGGAATCTGCATTTTACATGTAGAGACCACAAGGTATATGGTATGGTTCTGTTTTATATTAACAATTGACTGTACTGTTCTGAGTGTCTATGGAATCATCATAAGTTATATCAGTACAACAATTATATGACATCTTGATTTCCCTTTAATGGTGGAAACAAACAATGCAATGTGATTATTTGAACAACGATTATTTTGAAATGAATGATGATGCTTGCCCTATCATGGAATATAATACATTGGATTCGGAAGCTTGAATGAGCGGATGGACATTGAGGTACCTAATATGTCACTCCACTGGTCTCCAGAGTTGCCAAGAAATCTGTATCCCTCTTTCTCCATCTCATTCCTCTTTTCTGACTTGTAAACTGTTGCTAATTTCCCTTGGTCATCCGAGGCCCTGCACAATATGTGAAACACATGATTCAGAATTCCAAATAAACATTATGAAGCTGGTACAAGGACGAAAAGCACAATGCCCTAAAGTCAAAGGCTTCCTGATAGCATAAGTAATGAACATTGTCTTAAAATGATAGCTTCAAATTCAAGTTCTGTAATCAATGATTTAAAGAACAAAAAACAAGAGAGAAGAGAAGAAGATGTCAAAATGTTAATCATAAGCTTTTCTTATAAATGATAAACTTGGGTATCCAATTGAAAGCTTTACTTTTCATGTTCATCCTTATTTTCTTTAGAAATAAACCTAACTTCACTTCACATTGTCATTAATTTGTATTCCCAACTGACAAAGACCAGTAATGAGATGAGATGAAAAACACCTGATGAAATGATATTTATTTATTTTGGAAGACGAAATCAAACAGAAAATCATCAATATAGTGCACCAACAGCCCTAACAAAGCAATTATGAAACCAGATCACAAAAAGAGAACCTTCTTTGATCTAATAAAATCAAGTAAAATTCAAAATGAAAACAAATCCAAATTAATCAAGTGGAAATGTAGTAGGTTTTGATCAATATCTGGTGGGCAAGTCCTATAGCTAACAAAATTACATTACTTGAACTCAGCTACATGATATAACATGGTAACACCTTCAGCCCGTAAGTGAGGTGGGTCCTTAGTGTGAACAATGTGTATGCAGGTATGCGGAGGACATATGTAAAAACTGAGTTATCTTTTTCATCTGATTGAATCAACATTGATCCACTTCAATCATTTCTAACTAAGTAAATATGCAGGAAAGTAACAGATCAGTACCCCACCCAAGGAAAAAGGATGGAAGGAAGGACGACAGAATGTTATATGTATCATGAAAAAGTAAACTTAACAATGTGACTGAAAAAGAATATATATTAGGAATGGCACTTCCTCAAATCTACTCCACCCAGGGAACAGTAGCCTGAAGAGCAATGATATATTCAAGCTAATGCTATAAAATTTTCCCATTATCTAACACTCGTAAGCATGCATTGCCCTTAATTTTAGCACTTCCTAAATTTGGCTCTAGAAGACAGCAACAAGACAACCTAACTTTCCATTTAAATTTGCAAAGGAAAAAACCATACTAGGACAATCAAATGATATTAAAATATGGATAATAATAGTTATACTAGTCAAACAATATTCTACATGAACTCATAAGTGGCATTCATACTCACCTTAAAATAAGCTTATGCCAATCTCGAAATCCTGCATTGATCAGATTCTCAATAGTAGCCTTTCTTTTCCCTTCACTGCGCCCAGTGAGCAAGAATACCTTAATTCCCAAACCCAAGACCTCTTCATAGAGTTTCAAGCTGGACTTTATAGCGGGTGCCATGGCCTTCTCTACCCATCTATCAAACTCCAGATGATCAAAAACCTCCAAGCTACAAAAGCACACATATTATCCACATCAGAACATTGTTACAAAAAAGAAAAAAATTACACAACACAATAAATCATGATAAGATTCAATGAAAAATAGAAACATAGAATTTTGGTGAGGTCTTTTTACAACAGAACCTCGCCTTAACTAAACAAATTGGTTGTAGCAGGTTCTAGTGATAAACTTCCAGATATCATAAGGTCAAAAAGATGAACCATTTACTTCCAATATTCCAAGGTTTCTATAATTCTTAATTCAAAATTTCATAACAAGAATCTCATTCAATTTATTGGTTTCCTGGTATTATCAAGTTCCAAACAAATGAAACACTCTAAAATTCCCAACATGATTCTATTTATGTTAATTTTAGAAAACATTCTGGTCAATCAATGTCAAAATTCCACGCATCTTTACCAAATTACTATATTTTTGTTTTCCTCTACGCTATTCCATAAACCCAAAGAAAATTCTCAAAGGAAGTTCAAGAATCATACCCATAACCATGGTCAGCATAATACGGAAGATTGGAAAGCAGAGTGTCATCAATGTCAAAAATCCACGCATCTTTCCCATCACCACTCAATTCAACAGCCTTGGCATAAACTCCAGCCTCCTTAGACACCCTTTCGAGATCAAACCCATAAGCCCGACCCGTCACGTAATCTTTCACATACTCTGCACATTCCTGTGGGATTGTTTTCCAGGGGTTGATGTTGTTAGCCTCCACAGAAAATCTCCAGCTGGTACAGTGCAATTTAAGCTCTTCCTCTAATTCTCTGAAATGGGACTCAGTGTTTTCGGGGTATTCGATGATCAAAGGCCTCGGCAGGAGGTGGGAAGTGAAAGTTTCCTGAGAAAACGCGAGGGAAAGTAAAGGAAAAAGAAGGAAAATCTTCAAGAAAGTCATGGTGGTTGGGAAAGAAAGAAAGACTCTGAATTTGGGGGAATCAAATTCTGGGTAGGGCGTGAATAAAGAAGATTTTGTGGGTATCTGAAAAATCAATGGGAATTTATGGAAGGGAATCTGTGGAAAAGTAAAATCTGAAGAAAAGCAAAACGGGGGGTCAAATAAGGAAATACGTTTCTTGGTGTGGGAATGAGAAACCCATATATGAACAGTAACGTCTGTGTTTGGGTTTTGGGTTTTGGGTTTTAAAGAGGAGAACTTGAAGAGAGTGGCGTGCGACTGAAGTAATTACACAGAGAGAGAGAGAGAGAGAGAGAGAGAGAGAGAGAGAGAAGATTTGCAAGTTGGTTTACAGGTTGTTGTATAGTTGAAGAGCTTGCTTGGAGAGGTGGAGGGAAGACGCACGGCGGCACGTATACTTATAGGACGACCTTCAGATGTTGTGGGAGTGTAGGACCCACCCTCGGTCTGCAAGTATAGACAAATCAACTCTTTTTCATTAACTTCCTTCCTATTGCGGTTGGGATATTGACATTCCCTTTACCCACGCAGGAAATGGAGGAAGGAAAATTGGACGCGCCTCCTCGCCAAAAGGCCCCAAGAAGATCCAAGTCCACAAGCCTGTGACATAAGTAACTAAGCCCAAACCCAATAACCCAAGGCCCGAGCTTCGGTGACAAACAAGGCCGAGTCTCCTTTCCTGTGGATGGGGAGCTTCTTAAAGTTGAGGAGGTGTGTTGTTCAATAATAACTCTACACCAACTATTAAGAACCCTTTGCAATTGATAGAATGAATATTTAAGGGCCCCTCAATATAATTCC